TGCTACTGGTATTTTTTTTTTGTCTTTAGCAGTGATAAAACAGCAAAATATGTCAACATTTTCTTTTTTTCCCTGAACCTAAAAAATCAGGCTGTGAAAACCTGATGCATTTTTGAATTCAGCGCATACCTATATAGATGTTTATACGCTTGACATGCACTGAAGCTTTTGGCATGCAATATTGCCACTACAAGCATGACCCTGGCTATGTGCATATTAAAAATATAAGCTATTCTGCCTGTTACCCTGGATCTGGATGCACAGAGGTCTATAAATTCATTGTATGCTGCTTGAAAGGCAGTCTGATACCTAAACAGCAGTATGACGTGGACGCGGGGCCACGCATGTGAACTTCCTGGCCCCTTTACTGTATATTAATGTCCCAGGCCTGCATGTAGGTTAGCAAAGAGAGCTGTCGTTTAATTCTCCGGTATTTTCCACGCACAATACACTTGATAAAGCAAAATTTCTGGTATTTTACTCACCTTAACTTGCAGCACGCGACTCCCCCTGCACACACGGATCCGGCCGCGGAACGAAAATGGCGGCGAGGCGGCCTATGATCCATCGGTAAAGAAACACGTCAAAAACGAGTTTGATAACCGGTCGGCTTTGAGTACGCTTTTTACGCACGATTTGTGATTTTATTTACTCATAACTCTTTTCCAGAACTCGCTTTCAGCAGATTTAGTGAATGCATAATTCGTGAGTACGATAATTACGCGCAATACATGAGTCAATGAACTCTTATTTCATGCGTTCGGGGCCGCCTTACTCATGGATGGCAGGTCATTGATTTCTTTGCATGAGTTTTTGTAATGAGTAAACCAGAACTCAGGGCTTGGAATGCTTCATACACGAGTAAACCAGCGGTTGAAACTCATTAGCGGCTGGTAAAATGACCTTTACTCTCCATATACGAGTAGATTTGTTTTCAGTGTTGTTAAGAAATAATGCTACAAAAAGGGTTTGTGACTATTTTCAAATATGACTACGGTCGCGTTGCGGGAACGCAACGAAGGGCACATCGGAAAGACAGCGGTGTTGCGAAAACGCAACGATGGGCACATTGGCAGGGTAGCGGAAGTATGAATATCAACAGTAGACTTCACTCGTGATACGCTGTGGGTTCTCTCTTTCTCTCCCCCATCTTCCTCCCTCTCCTCCTCGTTCCCCAACTCTCTCCTCTCTCTCTCTCTCTCTCTCTCTCTCTCTCTCTCTCTCTCTCTCTCTCTCTCTCTTTCTCTCTCTCTTTCTTTCTCTCTCTCATTTTGTAGCCATGAGGCTGTAGCGGCGGAACATCTTCAATTAAGGGGGGGGGGGAGCACTGCTGACTTTTGGTCTCATTCTTTCCATTTCCATTTCCATGCAACGCCTATCGGGATAATGTTAAAATGGCAAAATCAAGGGGGGCACGGTGCCCCGGTGCCCCCTCCCCCCGCTCCGCCGCCTATGCCATGAGGGACGTATATAGGTATGTTTAGTGCAAGGTGCGTTCGCACGTAAAATGTTGCGACACATTTCATATTTGCTGGCTCAAACAGCCACAAACACTCCTTTCTTTTTTTCTCGCAGATTTTCGGCCTCGGGCTGTTCGTTCACTAAGCAATGTGTTCCCATGCATCTGAAAATCGCATGGTAGGAAAAGGACCCATGCATCAAACGGTCGGCGATGCTAACGGAGCTGAGAGATAATTAGGTCCTTTGGAAATTGGATCTACTATGTACATTGTGCATAAATAATGAATAACGGGGATGTATTCTGGTATCAGGCGACAGATAGGCATCGCCATTCTCTGGATAGAATCTGCTGACTACCAGCATTTACGTTAGAAAAGATAACTGAGGGTCGGCAAATAGTGGGATGGGCCCCCTCTGAGGGTAGCTGAGCCCTTCGGCAGGGGTAATGAGGGCGGACCCATGGGAAAATAATAATTTTTAGGATTCATAACTCGCATAGATTCATAAGCTGCTTGATGTGGAGTATACGCCTGTTTTCTTACTTTGATAGGCTTTTTATCTAATCAGACCATTTTTAGAGCTAGCAGGATTATTGGAATTAGGGGAGACATTTGTCTGACCGGACACGGTCAATCGTAGACTGGAGACTGAGCCCAGCCAGTGGGCAGCCGCCACCCATAACCCACCCCCTTCCCCCCTCCCAAGCACTCACTGCACCCGGCTACAGGCGCGCTCCTATGTGAGCTGCCCGATTGCGATATACGTTGCCGGTCCAGCCCGGAACAGGGGGTTGAGGCGTGGAGGAGGATTCAACTATCCTGAAGATGGAAAGGACGGATTGACGTCGAATCACCATTCTGTCCTGGCATTGTCTCGAGAAAGAGGTTACACGTGAAGGTCGCTGAGAGTGGGGCCATGAAAATTTTGGATTAGGTGTAAACATGATAAACTGGGAGTCGATTTGTTGTGATGCGCTATACGCCTTACGCGGGTAATTTGTTAGAGCCGGATCGGTCCTTTTTTCTTTTTGCTGAGAGTGGGTACGACTAACCTGCAATGGAATTTAACTTTACTCCTAGGAGGGTGGTTAAAAATGATTGCGGATATGCGTGCATACGAGAGGCACTGGTTTACTCCCAATCCTCCGTTTAATTGTATTCAGTGTGCACTGTGCAGGGTCTGATAGGTGGAGGTAATGGATCTGTCTAGCTTCCAAAAAGAAAGCATCACCCTGGATACGTGTCGACCACAACTTTAAATGAACAGCAATGGACAACGTAAATGGTTGATAATGACCGTGTTGCCATCTCCCCGTTCGCGAATCATGAAGTTATGCTTCCTCACTGAGGCTCTTAGGCGGGTTATAGAGCATGACGGATGTGGGTTCCGCATTTTCAAGCAATAGTTGTCAACAGTTGATTGATGTTTTGTCAAAACATATTAGCATATACGGCAGTTCAGTGTACTTTATGTCCGTCTGATGTGCCCGTCGTTGCGTTTTCGCAACGCTGATGGCGCCCGGTGTGCCCTTCGTTGCGATTTCGCAACGCATGTTTTTTACGTTTTTCTCGAGAAACTTTTGCTGCAGGCAAAAATTATTTTCGATTCCATACAAGGCCCTGGTAGGAGCATAACATATTTTGATTTCGTCGATTTTCATGATGGTCAATATTCCTGGGCATAAATGGGTTAAATTGCTTATTAGCATACAATGTAACAGAACGTCTCAGTTGGAAAATCGCCGGAGCGCTTAATATTTGAACCGGCACGGCGCGCGCTGAGAGAATTTGTTTCTTGACTGCGTTAGCCTAAAGCAAGTAATTACATAATACGCAAGACTAGAATAGTCATGTTCTTAGTGTGATATATCCGACTAAAAACATGATCATATGGTGATTGGTGACTACATATCGGCATGTAATAGGATTACGATTATAAAAAAATATGATGAACGTTAACTTTCCGGTCCCGATATGCTTTCCACCAACGCAACTTCGAAAACAGGAAGCAGCACACGGCATGCAATTGCCAGTATCGGCTCAAGCTACTAACACAACAAAGGCAGGCATGATTAGCACAAGACCAAGCTCCTAATTTATACTGAAGCATATTCTTAGCTTTTATGGTAGAAGTCGCGTAAATTATAGTGGCACGAACGGGATGTCTATGGAAGCATTTTACGTCGAGGCACAAACTTAACGCCCTGCTTTTCGGCCCAGTTTGTTCTGATTCTCTCATCACCGCTATTCATTGTCTGACACACAGACTTCTGTATGCAGAGATATACGTCTGTCATCATCGCTGGGCGCATCAGACACCCCGCGGAGCCCTGCATATAGGCCATCTTCGCGCGACGGGCTGGAGAGAGACCCCACTGAGCACTGCACGTACTTACATGCTACCTCCGCGTGACATCCGGCCCGTCTCCATTACCCCCCCCCCCCCGTCCCCCCGTCACTGACAGACACGGCACTGCCAATAATGGTGGACCCGTGCAAAAGAAGCGTCCCGGAGGCCAGTCGGCGGTGCCGTGCATACCCAACGACGTCAGCGTGGGAGATCCATCACCAGCGGCCGTACGGCAGCCGCCGATCAATTCGGGATGGATAGCTGAGGGGAGAGGGGAGGGGGTATCAATTCTGGGGGATGGATGCTGAGGGAGGTTTGGGGAGGGGTATCAATTCGGGATGGATGCTGAGGTCGGGGTGGATAGATCAAGAGAGGAGAGGGGAGTGGGTAACAATTCGAGATGGATAGGCAGGCTGGGAGAGGTGGAGAGGGGTATCAATTCGGGATGGATAACTGGGGAAGGAGTGGGGTATCAATTTGGGGTGGATGCTGCGGGAGGACTGGGAGGGGTATCAATTCGGGATGGATGCTGAGGGAGGACTGGGGAGGGGTATCATTTCGGGACATGGAATAGATGAGGAAGGATTGGGGAGGGATATCAGTTTGGGATGGATAGATGAGTGGGGGAGGGTATCAATTCGGAATGGATAGATGAGTGGAAGAGGGGAAGGGTATCAATTCTGGCGGATAGCTGAGGACAGGAGGCCGGGGAAGGGGCTACCGCTGAACAGGGCATCGACTGGAATTTCGCCTACCAGCTGGCCTGCCACGTCGGCTCGTCAAGCTCATCGACTTTACAAACCACCACCAACAGCCGTTATATCTACCATCGGTTCCATCAGTATACTGCCATTTGCACCAGCTTATATACAGCTAACACAGTACCCCAAAACGAACAGCCGTGGCACATTCACCATGCCACTACACTCGCCGACGCCTATCAGCCACTCAAGTCGCCCGCAAGCTCATTCAGCTGCCAGACCCACCGGCTTGCACCGATTTCTACCGACTTCCACCACCTACTGCAGCCATCAACCAGCTCCAACAGTTGCCAAACCCATCTGTAAGAACATCTCACGCTCCCGGCTGGGCCAGTAGTGCCGGGGCTAACGAATCTGCTGCAGCGGTTATCCACAGCAGGTGCGGGTCATGTGAAGCTCCGTTTACATGACGCTGTCTGAGACGGACCCATGCGGCAGCACCCGGCCATCAAAGGCGCCCGCCTGATCCTGCGGAAGCTCTGTAATATAATGAGTGGTCTAAGTGAGAGGTCTGCCTAGACCGATTATCACAATGAGTTGACTGTCTTGTTAGATGAAATTGTAAACGCTGTTTGTTCCTAGGAAGTTCCCCGCCAGTGTGCACACTTCACAACTTTATCGGTGGACGGTTTCACTGTTTTACTCTCCATCTGCAGCAGATAACAGCTATACAGACAAAACAGATAGCAACAAACTAATTTTAGTATTTGAACAACGAATACTGATAAAAGCAGATAACAACAAACTAATTTTCATATTTGCAGGTTCGAGTGGAGCAATGGTTGGTTTCAGAAACATCCATTCAACCATTTTTATGACGTGCCTCTTTGTTGGACACATGTATCGAGCACTTTGTGATAGAAGCAGATGTCTGACCTGTGCAATCAATCATGAATATAAGATAATGTTTGAAAAGGCTGGCTGTTTCCGAAATTCAAAGGAAAGATGCCGCAACTTAGGCGTTTCGTTCTCGAGCTGGACCATTCGTCGGCTTATTCCAGAACCCAGCTCCAAATAAACAAGCTGCTGCTCTTCTGCCCAAGGCTGGGAAATTGTTAACTAAGGTTAACGTGACACCTCACATCTCCGCTACAATCTGAGCCAATCCCTAAAGTGCTCGGAAACATTTTGGACAAGAGCCGAGCCGAGCCTACCTGAGAAGACTGAAAGTGAGCATTATAAAGTTTTGCATATCAAAAGTATTTGAAAACGGTTTGCTGTAACTCAGCATATTGACATTCTCAGAAATTAGTTACATTAGTTACATTAGTTAGTTAATTAGACCCCGTGTATATGCAGCAGAGCCAAACATATTGCTTGAGTGGATCTGAGCTGACAACTGAATGTTGATCAGAGTCGAGCTTCCCTTTTCAGCCATGAACGTCAAGTCTTCATTTGAAAACGTCTGTTTCAAAACAATATGAAAAATATCATGAACATCTGACACCATTTAATTTCAAAAGCTTCATTTGAGCACCAAGAAGCTGTCACGGGGTCAAGTTTTTAATTAGCGGAAAAGAAATGTTTGCTTAACAAAAGCATTTTTTAGCTGTCTGAGAGATGGGAATAATTGATATGACTTCTGTTTTCATTTTGGGAGTAGTTTTAGAACCACTCAGAGAACCACAAAAAAAAATGAAACAGACATTTACTCACTAAATTTGCGGGTCCCCAGAGATGGCCTTGACCCGACACCAAACTCCGATTTTCAGACCAGACTGTCACGGCCACAAACTGAACCTCAATGGCCCGCAAATGGGCAGACGGAGACGGCGCTGGCACCTTTTCTGGCTTTGCAGCTGAGCCGACTGGCGGCCGGCGCTGCGGCCGATCTGGCTGGGTCATGGCCCGCTCGGCCAGGCGCCAATGGCCACTTAATCCTCGTCGGAGCCGCTACCGGTCCGGGAAACTTGTCGAGGGAGTACGTGCTGGATGGCGGTGCGGGAGGGTTGGGGAGGGAGGGGCGCTTCCGCAGCGGCCGGGATCTGTCCGCCGCAGCAGAGCGGGTCTGTGTGCCGAGTGGGCTGGGAAGTTGGAGCCCTCCGTGTCTGGCCCAGGTCAAAGTTGAACTATCAGAGGTGCTACGGACGTGCCCTGGTCAAACCCAGCGCCGCCATCGAGGAACGGAAATTGGGAATGGCTGCACTTCACTTCCAGTCACCCAGGATATTTTCTGTATGCTTGTTGATATATCATTCGTATCGACATATAAAGGAGCACGCTTGTTATTACAACCGTACAATGCATGATTTGTTAAATATTCTAACAGCTCTAAAAAATTGGATACACAGGAGTATTATATTAATTTTTACTCTAAATCTCGCAAGGGCTTTATGTCGCTGTTCACTCTCATTCCATACCTGAGTCAGGAAAACAGGGGGCTCATATGCTTACAAATATCACATGCAAACTGTACCACGATTTTACCGAATCTGCTGCATTTTGTCGCTCCCATAAGAAAGCGCTGGCTCAGCCTATGAAAACAGAGGCCATATGCCAACATTGGGCCAATATTACGTCTGTGCTCACAACCGTCGGCCGTTGCGTCGGCTCCAAATATGTGCAGCGACGACGCCCGCTGGGCCTTATTGCCTGAGCCCCGGGCAGACTACCTTGCTCCGCGTCCAACGTTTGAACAGCGGACAATTGTGTCCGAATATTGTGTGACGGACTGCTGTGCTATTGACAGTTTGTGTGACGGCTGCTGCACCAGCTGACAGCTGCCGTAATATGTGACTTATGCTGCCAGCTGACAGTTTTCCTGATTGACAAGAAGTACCGCGGTGTTTGACTGCTGCTAGCTGACAGTTTCTGCGATTTGTCACTGCTGCTGTCATCTGACAGATGTGTGCGACTGTTGTCAACTGACAGCTAGCTGCATTGATATGTGACAGCTGTCGAGTGTCAACTGAGAGCTGCCGTGGTCTATCCTTGCCACTGCCAGCTGGCAGTGGCCACGGTGTGTAGCTTCTGTCATCTGACAGTTGCCGCAGCTTAGACTGCTGTCAGGTGACAGTTATTGTTGTGTCTGATTGCAGCCTCTACTACCGACATCCTCGGCCTGGAGGGTCACGAGGCCAGTCTGCCCTGCGACACGGTCCCCCCGCCAGATGATACCACTCTGATCGTACTCTGGTACAGAGACGGATCCGACGCGCCCGTCTACAGGTACGGTAACGCGACACTCTGATCGTACTCTGGTACAGAGACGGATCCGACGCGCCCGTCTACAGGTACGGTAACACGCCACTCTGATCGTACTCTGGTACAGAGACGGATCCGACGCGCCCGTCTACAGGTACGGTAACACGACACTCTGATCGTACTCTGGTACAGAGACGGATCCGACGCGCCCGTCTACAGGTACGGTAACACGACACTCTGATCGTACTCTGGTACAGAGACGGATCCGACGCGCCCGTCTACAGGTACGGTAACACGACACTCTGATCGTACTCTGGTACAGAGACGGATCCGACGCGCCCGTCTACAGGTACGGTAGCACGACACTCTGATCGTACTCTGGTACAGAGACGGATCCGACGCGCCCGTCTACAGGTACGGTAGCACGACACTCTGATCGTACTCTGGTACAGAGACGGATCCGACGCGCCCGTCTACAGGTACGGTAACACGCCACTCTGATCGTACTCTGGTACAGAGACGGATCCGACGCGCCCGTCTACAGGTACGGTAGCACGACACTCTGATCGTACTCTGGTACAGAGACGGATCCGACGCGCCCGTCTACAGGTACGGTAACACGCCACTCTGATCGTACTCTGGTACAGAGACGGATCCGACGCGCCCGTCTACAGGTACGGTAACGCGGCTGGCTGTCCCAGTCTAAAGGAAACGTGTCCAGACGTCTCTGTTTATAGGTAACGTATCCCGAAGTCCCACTCTTACGCTAACTTGTATCCCGTGTTCAGACCTCAAGTAGCGTCCATTGCTGTCCAGTGTCGTCCAGTCTTTTAGGAGTCTAGGACTCCTAAAGAATCGTTAAGATAATCTATGGTTTAGGTAAAAAATCCCTCCCGTGCACATTTGAATGAATGTTGTAGACACATCTGATCTCGATTCAGCGGTGGTGTCAATTTTAGTTTCATTCGCTGCCGCTAGATGACCAATGGTCGCCGCCTGAAGCTGCACTGTGCCGCATGGTTCGGGCAGCAGACACTGGAAATGGATTGGGACAGTTATATGGAAATAAGATGGTGCTTAGGATGCTGCAGCCCTGCGTTAGACCAAAGATCCGAACGCATACCGGTATAAAAAGTGTATGATTAGGCCTAACTCAGGACACGACTTCATTATCGATTGTGAATAACCAACTTTCGACCACCGCGCCGTGTGTTGCTCGTCGCTAGTGACTCGTCGCTTATATGGTCGTTCTTTAGTGGTTTGATTTCTAACAGACATAATACCAACAGATATAGAAGAACTGATGCTCAGGAAACTAAGGCTGGCGTGAAATCTGTTGATAACGCAAGCCTCTTGTTGCTGCTCTGCGCACTATCTAGTAGACACTAGACAGTGGGATAGGACCGCTAGGCTTTAGTCCAGCTATAAACCGGCTGCTTAGTTTCATTCAACTCAGAAAGCACGCTGCATAGAGGCTCAATCTCGCAAACGATGCGAGAGTTGCTGGCTTTAACGAGAGCAGCTCCGGTCCAAAGAGCCAAACTTGATCCATTCACTGCGCGAGCGATGAAAAGCTTGCAAGTGATCAGCACCGTGCCGAAAAATAAATCCGACGATCGGCGACAAAGGTAAACAAATGTCCGACACTTGGCACTGAAAGGCGCCGGCTATCGACGGACGCAGAGATCGCCGGTAAGTTTTCCTCGTGAAGTTGGCTGACACGGCGGCAGATTTGGGGTCTGCCGACTGCCAAATTCATCTTAAATATCATGTCAGTCGTGAGCTGGTGACTTCAGGGAGGATATTTATTGCACGATAAGTCTAAAATAGTTCCACAAAAACCAATGCAGAGCGATTTTAGGACTAAAGTACGTATCGCTAAAGTACGTAGGACAAAAGTACGTATGCAAATGTTCGTACGCAAATATACGTAGGCGATAAAGTTCGTATGCCAAAAGTACGTACGCAAATGTTCGTACGCAAAAGTACGTAGGTATGCAAAAGTACGTAGTGCATAAAGTATTAAAGTACGTATGTCAAAAGTACGTACGCAAATGTTCGTACGCAAAAGTACGTATGAAAAAGTACGTAGTGCATAAAGTACGTATGCTAAATTAAGTACGTACGCAAATGTTCGTACGCAAAAGTACGTATGCAAAAGTACGTAGTGTAAAATGTACGTATGAAAAAAGTACGTACGCAAATGTTCGTACGAAAAAGTTCGTATGCAAAAGTACGTAGTGTATAAAGTACGTATGCCAAAAGTACGTACGCAAATGTTCGTACGCAAAAGTACGTATGCAAAAGTACGTAGTGTATAAAGTACGTATACCAAAAGTACGTACGCAAATGTTCGTACGCAAAAGTTCGTATGCAAAAGTACGTAGTGTAAAAAGTACGTATGCCAAAAGTACGTACGGTTCGTATGCCAAAGTACGTAGTGTATAAAGTACGTATGCTAGAAGTAGGGTATAGTAGTGTAAGTTGAGCCACTTTTTCTTTATTGCTGCTCTGTTGCCATACTACAGGGAACTCATGATAAATTCATATACCAAATAATATAGCTTTGTCCATTTCGCCCATTTACTCATCGAGAAATTTTGCTATGCCTTGTAACAAATGCTCATTAAATAAAGAATAAGAAAGGTATTACACATTGATCAACTTAACCCAAGGGTGGGGTACGTACTTAATACCCTACGTACATTTGCTATACGTACTTTTGTCCGTGACGTACTTTTGTCCGTGACGTACTTTTGTCCACACGTAGGGTAGACCGGGGCAAGTCTCCCCGCCGAGGTAAAACGCCTCACCGATGTTTCTCGGAACTGGCAGGGTTCTGGGGAAAGATCCTCTCTTCTGTTAACCCGGCCGGGCCCGGGGGATAATTCCAACCACCGCAGCCCGGGGAGGGGCGTTTTTCGCCCCCTGTATAACTCCGTAAATAAGAGAGCTACGCAAACAAAACAATACCAAACGAAAGGTCCTTACGAGACGCTTCTAAAGCACCCAAAATTTTTGACCTCAGGTCAATTTTCAAGGTCAGAGGTCAAGGTCAAAGGCAAAAACCGGCACATGTGTAGTGATCTCAAAGTGAGCGTTCTAGAGGACGGCAGGATGCATAAAACCGGTAAAATTGGGTGTCAAACAAAAGAAGAGAATCTGAGAATTCCGAAAATGTACTCAACATCAAAGTTCAAGGTCAAGGTCATGCTCAAAATTGACCTCAAACTTACACTTTTTCGTACATCTTGTGTGTCAACTTCCAAGATGTTTTGAAATGTTTTGAGGCTTATCAGGTCCCTATTTGTGGTTCATCATACGATACAAGGCTGCTCAAAGGTCAAGGTCACAGAAGAGAGTCCTTGCTAGAGACTATTTCACTGATTCAAGTTAGTAATAATAAATAAGACAATTTTGCCATCCGGAGGCTCTAAATAAAGGCTTAGAGGAAAATAGATGCCAGATTCGTGATCAGCGGGTACGAATCCATCATAAACTACTTTTGATGTGTCAAGGTCAACCAAAGGTCATTCGAGGTCACATGAGGTCAACATAAAACTTGCCCTTTTCCAAACAAAATATATATCATTCGACGCGGCTTGACAAGACAAATGCGATGGTACCACTGCCGTAGCTCTAGGACCATTTTTGTCGAAGTTATTTGCGAAAAACTAAAACCACAGCTCGGGGTCGTTGACCTGACCTCTGATCTCAGGTCACTAAAACTATTTTTGTATTTTTGTCTAGGTCAAATGCTACACAACCGTGCTCGTAATTTGTCTTTATCTTTAAAACTCTATTTTTAGCAGCTATTTGAAGTTCGCGTCTGTGACACCGAAGTTTGCCGTGCAGGGGTCTAGAAAAATCGACTTTGTGACGTCATCAATGGGGCTAGGTCCAAATTTTTTATTTCAGAAGATGTCAAATTGATGGAAGAAAAGGTACTGAAAATTTCGCTCTCCTATCCCTAAGCGTTCGGGAGCTATCGCAAATATTCGCCAGGAGGGGGGGGGGGGGCGAAAAACGCCCCCCCGGGCCCGCGAGGGTTAATCTAGTGTATGGGGCTTCTTGCCTCAGGCCGTGGGGCGTTTTGCCCTGGGGTTGGGGCAAAATGCCCCATTTGCAGTTGCTTCACAAAGCACTTCCTAGCTGGGAGTCCGATCATAAGTGAATGAATTTGAGGGATGGAATTTAAAGTAAAATGTCCAAAGAACACATTGAGCACAAATTTGGCCTTCCAGGTGATGTGAGACAAAAGAAGGTACCTACGTAGCGAAATAAATTATCTGGGGCGTCTTGCCCAAGGCTACCCTACTTTATACCCTACGTACATTTGCTATACGTAGGCTTTTGTACGTGACGTACTTTTGTCCATACGTACTTTATACCCTACGTACTTCTGCGATACGTACTTTTGTCCGTGACATACTTTTGTCCATACGTACTTTTTACCCTATACGTACATTAGCTATACGTACTTTTGTCCGTGACGTACTTTTGTCCATACGTACTTTATACCCTACGTACTTCTGCGATACGCACTTTTGTCCCTGACGTACTTTTGTCCATACGTACTTTATATAGTACGTACTTCTGCGATATGTACTTTTGTCCCTGACGTACTTTTGTCCATACGTACTTTATACTGTACGTACTTCTGCGATACGTACTTTTGTCCTTGCCGTACTTTTGTCCATACGTACTTTATATTGTACGTACTTCTGCGATACGTACTTTTGTCCCTGACGTACTTTTGTCCATACTTACTTTATACTGTACGTACTTCTGCGATACGTACTTTAATCCTACGTACTTTTGCTTACGTACTTTTGTCCTACGTACTTTAGCGATACGTACTTTTGTCCGTAACCCATGCAGAGCAGTGTGCTCGTCGTATTTCTGTATTTCTATTTTTACCGTGACCTTCACTGTTTCGAGGGACAATGGCTAGAACGGCAAGCCGATATCTGCAAACAGTTTGAATTTTCTACACTATGTAGTACCTACATACAGGAAACAGCCCTTCGCTCTCTTGCTAAGATCATCTGGTCATTGCCATTGGTCACAATTTATATCTTGTTTTGTGACTTTCGTCGCCTCTCCATCGTAGTTATCGTGAAAAATGAAAAAAAAATGTTCCAGTGGCATTGTGATTATGGCTTGCGGTTTACTCAAGCTTTATTGCTCTGCAGTGCATCAACACCTTACAAAGAAACCATAAGACAAAAATGCCAGAACACAGTGGCGTGATTCCAAGCTATCGGACCCGCTATTGTTTGGAAATAGTGTCTCCTCTATGGTGGGATAAATTCGCACCTCCCCGTAAATCAAGTGAATTGATACCATCCTGTTACTGGGCGGCTTACCTCTGCAGAAGCACTGACGGGACGCGCATTAGTGGGTAATGCGTTGCCGCGATGTGCGCCGGCACTTTCAGCCGTCATTAAACCGCGGACGGGTGTTCCGGCTGCCGTTCCCTTGGGAAGGCGCGATAATAGCAGTCGTTAGGCGGCGTCACTCTGTGGACCAGTTTATCCGGACCGACCCGGAGTTTATCCGGACCGACCCGGAGCTTATCCGGACCGACCCGGAGCCGCGGCCGGACGCATTACACATTCCGCTCGAATACGCCGACAGCCGCCGTGGTAACATTGTCCGCATTACCGTCCCACTGCACGGCAAACTGCAGTGTATTCCTGCTGAGAGACGCATTCGCGCGGCTAATCACAAGCTGCTACTGTACATACTCCGCGTACCTGTGCTAATGGTAGCGGGGCATTAGCGGACAGACGAAACCATTTCTCGTCTGCTAGTAATGCAAGCATTTATGTACTGCTGTCGACAAAAGAAAAACACAAAAGAAAAAAGGAAGAAGAATATAGCAGACATTCTGCCGGTGCGTTCTGATATTGCCCATTTACAAATTAGAATTTTAATTTGACGATAACTGTAAGTACTTCGAATCTGCGTCCTGCAAAGGGATGTTGAGTAACAATTTGACTAAATGTGTTCTTTGATAAGTTATCGGTGGCTTGATACACTTACATGGGTTGTCAGATTATTTTTTCACGATTCAAAGATATATTTCACGGATAACTCGCGGAAAATGGCGGATCAACATGGAGCTCACGAGAACACGTTTTTTTTCGCGAAGCTTCAGCTCGATCAGGGGACTGGCGGCTGGGGGAGGGGGTCTGATCGTCCTCCGCCTGTACGCTAGCGGCTATAAGAACCAACGTGGGCCAAGGTTGGGACTTATTTTCTTTTGACCAAATATTGACGTCAAGTTGTATTGACACATTTTTTCCACACCGTTTTTTCATTTATTTCGGCTTCTGCTTAGGTCAGCCTATCTACGAACTGTCATATTCCAAACACGCTCCAGTGACATTTTGAAGTTTATTCTGAGATATAAACGCTCGCTTTAACCACCCAATTTCCACCGTCGATTTTCTCGCTTTGGCCTTTTTGTGGCAGCGCTGCCGTGGCTGTCCAGCGCAGCATCGTCCGTCGTTGGAGGTCAGTCGGGGCCGGCGCCGGAGACCGGTCTCGGCCGGGGCTCCGCGGACCCTGATAGTCACCGCGGCCCTCGCCGCCGGCTGCGCTCGCTCGGTCAACTTGATCGAAAGGGAGGACACTTGGTCGATGTCGATAGCTAATAGCAATCTGTCTTCTGAACCTTTATCTCTGGGCGAATTCGACTGGAATGTCTCCTAAGTCATATTTCCATTTTGCCTAGCTACGCTTCAATGGAAATATTCATGCATCTTTAACGCAAACTTCTAACATAAATAATACGTATATTATCAATCCAACTGTAGTGGATGACACTGAACAGCCAGCAGGAGACAGCTCGCCATTCTGTCCTGCTAATGGCGCTGAGGATGACAGCAACATGTGCTGAAACAACTCCGGACCTGTCCTTCCTCTAACGGCCAAGACCCGTGGGATGGCCCGTTCCATGTTAGAGCGGCCGTGGCGACCATCGATGGGCAAAGTTGGCTCGTAACGGCCATGTCATTGGCTATATCGGGCGGGCCGAGGAGCCGCACTCTAGTCGCTCGCGCCGCCAGCCCCCGGGGGCCGTTTGTCTCGCGTCTAATTTTGCGCAGAGAGACAAAATTAATGGCAGCTTCCCAAGGAGCCACCGAGAGAAACCAAATAACCTTTTAGCGTGTTATTGTGCTGGTGTTGTCACCCGTAACTTGGGGTTATTAAAACGTGTCGCAGAGCATCAACATGAAATGGATGAAAATCGTTATTTTTGGCTAGATAGCCGCCTTTTCTGCGGAACCGTCATTACTGAATTCTGGATGTAGTTATTTACCCAATGCCCAAGCAGCTGTTCAAGTATTTACGTATACCACAGAGGTTCCGGGATTGGTTTTACCTCCTCACACGGTTTTCTACTAATTTATCTCGTCAGCGGTGATCCGACCCTAGGACCGGGGAGTGCTCACCATGGCTACATTTGTCTTGGTTGGAGGAACTCTGACGAAGACTAGGCTGGAGTGCCTACTATCGATCTGCACCGAACCTTCACTAATGCGAAAAAGCACTCAGCAAAAATGCGGTGTGGACTGGAGCACTTAACCCTATTCCTGGCGGGCTCCGCCGGGACAAGAAACTGGCGGGGGGGGGGGGGCCGATTCGGCCCCCCCCTGAGATCTCGAGAACGAAGCAAGATAGCGACAAGCGGTAAACGGCATCGGATACGCACGGCCAAGATCTACAATTTTTACAAAGGTCATTTTCAGGTCAGGTCAAAGATGACGTCACAGGGGTCGAAAAAGTCAAAATGGCGGCACTAGATATGGAGAGAGTTTTTCTCGAATAACTTTCGAATTAGTCAAGATAGGAACAAACTAAGGGCATCATCGTGATCCTCTCGTCAATCCGCATCGAATGATATATATGTTGACCTCGAAAGGTCAAGGTCAAAGGTTGACCTCAGGTCACGTGACCTCGAGGTCATCATGTATATCATTCGATGCGTCTTGACGAGCTGAACACAATGAGACCATCCACGCGTCTGTATCTTGTTCCTGTACGGAGTTATCGGCCAAGAACCTTTGGTGACCTTTGATGACGTCACATGACCTCACAGCTGCCCAACAGCAAACGTTACGGTCCAAGGCGGACATGAGGACAGGTGGCGCCGCCGCCACTCGCATAGCGGCGGGAATGTGAACTAACCTGTTTACCATAAGGCCGCTGTGCTAACGGCCGCTGCGGGCGCCGTTTCGGGCTAGTTTTGACTTTGTACCGCAATTAATGGTTTATTTATAATAAAAAATGGACTAGCGAGAGTCGTGCCGGAATCAGAATTCAATGTTCTACAAAACTAAGCCATTTTCATTGTGATCACGTCATCGACTTCACCGCCCAACCCAATAAAGCAGAAATATGTCGTGTCACCGGTAATTACACGCAAAAATTCTTTGGCATATAGCATAAAAACCAGAACACCTTTGACTGCAGCGACTATGCGGTACTACAGAAAATTGTATGGCCTACCTAATGGTGCCCATTACTTAATAATTAAGCTGAGTATTTCGTCGCCTAACTCTTGTAAAACCGTATGTCCGCTTGTCTATGGAGTTTGGACCGTAACGAACAGACCTCAAGGTAGTGAAGGTTGATCGTATATGAAGTCATGTATGGTATATGGGGCCATTCCGACCCGTTTTAGTGGTAAAAACAGGGAGTTGATTTTTCCCCCATTGACTTATAATGGGGAGGTCGCGAAATTGACCTGACCTTAGGTCACCGATATCAAAATTCCGAGATATACAAATTGCACATACTGGTACCCTAACTAAACCCTGAAGAGAAGAAATGGATCGGTCAAAAACTCTAGCTCTGGCGTGATTGCAAACTTTTCTGAGGTAGCGTCACCAAACCGCCTCTGGTGACCTGACCTGAGGTCAGATCAACTCAAAATTTTCAGACATGTTGCGTAGAAGCCTTTTAGGAAAAGTCAGAAAATTTGAGCTTCCTAGCTCAACGCGTTTGGGAGATATAACCAAAAAACCTCAGGGGGGGGGCTCCTGAGGCCCCCCCCGCCAGGAATAGGGTTAAGATTCGTTAGTGTCGTCAGTTAGATTCAGTGTATCTTCGTGCGGTAGAAATGCAAGAAGTGTGCCCATTCAGAAGTATCTGGATTTTGCAGATTTTCTTTCTCAGAACCTTATGCATATAAACATATCCTACCAAATACGCATTTGTCGAAAATCCTATTGTATCTACTATCTACCATGCAAATAGTGCAATTTGCAATGAAATTACAAAATTTTGATATTTAAAATGTAATTTAGAATGTAACTGTGAATATATAATGTAATGTTGCAAGGAATGCAACTGTAAGAAAGGTATGATTTGTTTGTCATTGTCAAACTATGTCAAACAGACAGCACAGCCGATTATAAGAATATGCGAAGGAGATCACAATCAGTTGAAAGTCATCTCTGGCAAATTTTGAATATGATCATTGATCAATTAGATGACCAATAACTAATTCATTAATTTTTCATTGTAATTTGCTATTTGATCGTTAAGTGTTTTCCTTCAAAATACAGAATAGGTGCTTGATGCAATATTAACGGAACACATGTGAGCAGCTTCAACATGTTTTTTTTTTCTTCCGTTTTGGATGCACCAAAAAATAACGGGCTTCTGTCAGCCCTTGAATTGACTATCTTCCTCTAGCATGTGCAGTGAAACGCTTCTGCCTAATCTCTTCAGAACTGAGAAGTGAGAGGCAGTTAGCAGAGCGATTTAAACAGCTGGGCTGGGCGATTACGCGAGCCGAAGTGATACGTTGTTTACAAAAAGTGTGATCTAGAGGTCTAATTTACCCCAAACACCCTGAATGTAAAACCTCATTAAATTTCCTCACATGTCTGTGTTCACGTCTCCATTCTGTTTCAGTTACGATTTTCGGAATCGGGAGGAGTCTAGCCGGCGGTGGCACAACACGTCCGTGTTCGGCTCGCGGGTGGACTTTGTGCCCGGCCGGCGGCCGGCCGTGCTCACCCTGAGGGACCTCGGTCCCGCCGACCAGGCCATCTACAAGTGCAGGGTCGACTTCCAGCACTCGCGCACTCGGAATGCCCTGGTCAACCTGACCGTTATCAGTGAGTGAGCTGACGAAATCGCATGGTGCTGCCGCTTCTGCGATCCTATTATTCTCACTCACTCTCATCTCAATTTTTCCTCACCTCCTCTTCCTCCTCCTCCTCCTCTCAATCTCTCTCTCTCCCTCTCTTACTTTCCTTCTTCTTTTTTCTTTCTTTACTCTTTATTTTCTTTTTTTCTTTTTCTTTCTTCTCTTCAGCTGGTGCTCGCCGCTCACCAACTAAATGTCAATGGACAATAGCCTTTCATCAGCAATCCTTTGACGACCCTTCGCTCAAAGCGTCACAAGTGGCCGTCCCCTGGTTTGACGCAAACCTAATCCAGTGTAATCCCAGATACAGTCCCAGGTGTGCTTAGTCTGTCACTAGCGACAAGTTCAAGTACGTGCAATGTCCTTCAGAAGCACTCGGTAGTTCCCGGCTAGTTTCCTAACACCTACTCTCATTAAAATGTTTTGTTAAAACTGAAATGTTTGATGAGGCCGAGACCGTTTCTCTTTTTCCGAAAGTCTGAAGCATCAAGCTCGTGATTAGTTATCACAACTCATTAAGGATATTTGAACTGTAGCAAAATGCATCTCCACTTTGCAATGAATATATGCAGTGGTTTTCGAGCGCAGTTTATGATGAAAGCTGTGCGTTTTAGCGCTTGGCCACAGACGCTGTCCCAGCCTGAGCGTTTATTTGTACGTAATTAGCCAGATATTTTTCAGTGCCAAATCACTGGCGACCTGCAGTGAGATGTGTCAGGACTTTATTCCCTCTGCACATTTGATTTTTCTCAGACATACCTGCACCTAGGCTCAGGCATGGACATGGTGTCCGCTTTCCTGCAGGGAGTTGGTTGATCTGCGCTGATGCACCGTGGACAACATTAACCTTGCTTACATACACTTCATCACCAGTTTAGATGGCATAAAAGCAATAAATCGATTTATGGGAGGACGCCAAACTCTTCGAAGTGGTAGTTCTCGCTCGTAAAGCATGTGAGCGCGAAGGCGCCTTATCTCATGAGGCAGTTTCATGCCTAAAACCGGTTTGTAACAGTTCTCCTCTTTTCCCGTCATGTCATGATTCCATTATAGTTTCCTTTCCTGTAAATGTATATTCTCCATGTCTAAGTGCACGTATTCGTTATGTCCACTGAAAATTGGGATGTTTCTGAACGGAAATGCCGATGAGTTCTACAAGTGCCTCGCACTCTATGTTGCAGCGGCTCCCGAGTATGTGCGGATCGTGAACCCTCGGGGACGCATTCTTCACACAGTTGCTGGTCCGTTCAGCGAAGGAGACCGCCTGGAGCTGATCTGCCGCGTCAAGGGAGGTAAGTACAGCCTCCACCTGTCGCGTCACGATGGGAGGTAAGTGAATCCCACCTGCAGCGTCAAGTGACATAAGTGGCCTCCGACCTGTCGCGCCAAGGGAGGTAATCGACCTGCGATCTGTGTCGTCAAGGGAGGCGGGTGACATCCAGTCTGCTGCGGAAAGGTACTACGGTACTATAGATATATAGTAGTAGGGAAAAGGCAGACTCAGATCCGTTGCGTCAAGGGATGCATTGCAAAAGAAAAGCAGCCCACTTGGGTCACCTGGAAGATGGAAGGTGAATGACGACCTTATTGTCCACTCCCCCCCCCCCTCCCACCATGTCTGATGCGCCAGAAGTATGAATTATTTGCACAGCAGTGCATGCAGTGTCTGTGATAGTCTTCGGTTCGTTGCGACCTGAAAATCCAGGAAACCTGGTCCTCTGTTGACCTGGAATTACAGTGACCTCTAAATTATCATGCCCATTCTTCCATTTTCGTGTGCGTCTTGTAAACACCCACAGGCTCATTGATAACTCATGTCCCGGGGTCTCCGGTGATGGTTCTGGTCCCTCCCACAGGCTCTCCGCGTCCGGCTGTGACCTGGAAGTCCGGTGGCGCGGTGCTACCGGTACCGTACCAGCCCCAGGGCGAGTACACGGTCAGCCAGTACAGCGTGGAGGCGCTGGACAGGTCGGACCTCCACCGGATGGTCACCTGTCTGGCGTCCAACACCAACCTGACGGCGCCGGCCACCAGCTCCGTCATGATCGACATGAACTGTGAGTAGAAAACATGATCGGCATGAAATTTGAGGAAAACGTTATGATCGACATGAGTTATGAGTACAAAGAGCACATATTTGGGCTGTGAGGTGTGAGTATAGAGGTGAGCAAATAGCTACATGAACTGTGACTAGAGTGTGGGTATAGATAGAGCGCAAGATTTTGAGCTTAGCCTAGGTATAAGAACAGTGAACACTCAGTCATTCCTGCATGAGTATGTATAGGTAGCTACTGAGTCGGTACGGTGCAAAATGAGCATTCTTCGAGCCGTCAGATGCAGTGAAAACATCTCAGCGGTGTAACTAAATTGAAAATTAAATGAAGCGAGAAAGTATATGCTCGTAGTTTTGCCAACAGAGAGATGCAATCTGAGCCCAGGCAGCTGAAGTGAATTCAATAGTAGTTTCTTGTTCTGCAATTTTCTGGATGACCATGCTGACGGATTTTGTTGATTTTTTTTTTTCTAGACCGCGCATGAAGCAAAGGTCGAAAAGGAAGCAACAAGTTCGGTATCACGTAAATTTTGTATGTATTGGTACACATACTGTATGGTGAGCTATGTAGTTTCAAGGATGAGAGTGTCTGTTACAGTCCACTCTTACACTTTAACACTTGTACCATGTCCAACTCTTCAAAAAAAAAAAAACATCACGGCACAAACGGTCTTCAATTAATTTCAATCATCAGACGGAAAGATGTCTCATTTCCAACGTTATGGCATCCCGTGAGATATTTGGCCGGTACATTGGTTTAACCCGCGCCCGGCTGGGGGTCCTGGATTTCCACGCCCTGCTGGGGGGGGTGTTTGAACACCCCCCTTGTAACTCGGCTCCTGGGCCACGTAGCGATACGCGGAAGGCGGCGTTCGAAAGAGCGTCAAAAATAATGACGAAATCACTTCGGTCAATTTTTTGGTCAGGTCAAAGGTCAGGTCACCAGAGGTCATTGAAGGCAAAATTTCGCCGATTTCCAGGTCGAATGTCGAAAATTTCCAAGAAGCCAACGCATAACTCGGGAACCAATAGAGTTACAGCGCCGCAGAAAAGCGCATTCGATAGCCCTATTAACGCCCTTTCTGAGTAATCCTCTCAGATTTGACCTAACGTCAACAGTTTTGCCTGCAGGGGGCAAAAACTGCAAAAATAGCCGATTTTTTCGTAAACAGTTTTTCTGCAATAACTTTTGACCCAAGCCTTGTACGAGCTTACTTTTACCGGCATCGTGTTCCTCTCGTCAAGACGCATCGAATGAACTATAACTTGACCTTGGAAGGTCAACTTGAAAATTTGACCTCAGGTCAAGGTCATGACCTGACCGGAAAGGGTCATGTTGCATATCAATCGATCCGTATCGTCGAGCTGAACACATCTAAGGCGTTTTCATCGCTCTAGCATGCCTCTATAAAAAGTTATTTGCGAAAAACTGTTAGATACCATTCGTGACCTAAGATGACCTCAGGGCATGAACAGGGGTCACGGACACCATTTTCATGTTCTGTGTGTCTAAACCACTTGTAATTCGGTGTTTGGGAGTGTTTATAATGTCTTTCGTCCAAAAGAGGCGCATTTCAATTTTCTCCCATTGACTTATAATGGGGAGGTCGCAAAATTGACCTGACCTTAGGTCATCGATATCAAAATTCTGAGATATACATTTTGTACATGCTATTGCTCTTAGCAATCGCTGAAAGTTTCAAAGCGATCGGTCACTCGGTGTAGCTATGACAGACATTGAAGCTTTTTATGAGGTGAGGTCACTTCAAGTGACCTGGTGACCTGACCTTGAATGACCTTGGTGTGAAATTTTCACAACATGTGTAGAATTGATTATGATAAGGTGTACCAAAAACGGCGGCGCTCCGCGCCGCCGTTTTTGAGATATTCGCGAAAAACCACAAGGGGGGGGGTTCAAACACCCCCCCCCAGCAGGGCGCGGGTTAATTTACGTTTTCAAGACGAGCGGGCGTTTCCACATTTCCTTTGGTGGCTGTGACACGGACCTCCTATTATGACGGGGGCGTCTCGGCTCTCGCCATCCCGTCTCTCGGCTCTCGCTGGCCCACCTCTCGGCTCTCGCTGGCCCATCTCTGGCCGGGACGGGTGTGCGGACACACGCAGACAGTCGGCGCGACAGACGGGCCGCCGAACAATGACCAGTCGTGGGACCCGTCACACGCACGGCGGACCGCGCCGCGCTCTGCCCCGAGTTCCCTGCGCTCTGCAACGAGACACGGCCGTCCGCTCTCTGCTAGGTCTCCCCCCCCCCCCCCCCCCCCGCCTGCACTCTGCATCGAATCCCCTGCACACTGCCCCGCGAGTCACCTCCCGCCCGCACTCCGTCTCAGAGTCTTTCTCTGTCCTCTGCTCTGGCCCGCCCGCGCTCTGCTATCGTTCTCAAGCACTCTCTCCTCGTTCATCCGTGCTCTAACATCATCCGTACCGGCTATCGCCGTCCACCCGAACTCTACCCTCATCTGTACTCTGCGGCATTGTCGTCCCATGTCCTCTGTCCCACCGTCCTTCTTCGCCACGCCATCTGAACCATCGCCAGGTCTATCGTTTTGTCCTCAGTCGACTTTCGCGCCTCGCTCCAGCCCTCTCTTCTCGATCAACTCTCCCTACTCTGACCGCTCTGTCTTCGATTGCTCCATTCTCCTGTCGCTATCATTCTACACTCGTCTGCAGCTTTTCAGCACGCTCTCCGTCTCTCTCTCTCTCTCTCTCTCTCTCTCTCTCTCTCTCTCTCTCTCTCTCTCTCTCTCTCTCTCTCTCTCTCTCTCTCTCTCTCTCTCTCTCTCTCTCTCTCTCTCTCTCTCTCTCTCTCTCTCTCTCTCTCTCTCGCCTCTCTCCCTCTGTCCCTCAGTAACCCATCTATTGCTCCCAGTATCTCACCAGCCCTCGTCGTGACTCCTTGTTTGCCGTTTCGCTACTTTGACGTCAACTAACGGTGGCTCTATTGGTCAGGCACTGCTCCAGCCCCCCTCCCATCCCTCCGTGATGACGTCACAGCCTTTGGAGGCATCCAGCTGACCGGACAAACATGTTTGGCAGCACGTTCGTAGGGTCACAATGGCGTCAGGATATTGCCGGACTTGTTGAACCATACATCTTGATTTACGCTGCACGTCGATGTTGGAAAACAGTGGCCAGGGTTTAGGGATATTAGCTGATACGGATACATTGAAAAATATCTGGTGTAAACGGTAACTTGCAAACTGCTTTATCTGTTTCAATTCTCTGTGTTTTTTAGCCGGTGCTTTATTTGTAAGCCGGGGCTACGTTCGACCTAACCTCCATCGGTGAATGTTGCGGGGTCAGGATAGTCCAGCCCCATCTCCTAAGTTACGTGTAGACTTCACATATTAACCCTCGCCGGCCGAGGGGGGGGGCGGGTGCCGCCCCCCCCCCCCATAGGGTTTTTTCGCGATTGCTCCGAACACGCTGGCGATAGAGAGCTGAAACTTGGCATACCTGACCTTTGATCCAAGCCGGATCTTTTGACACCAACCGCATTTTTGGGTCAGGTCAGGTCACTGACCTATGACGTCATAAGTGAACCTCTGCACGGTCTTCAGATGTCGCAACTTCGCAACGCCCTCACTGCCAGAGGAGATGTCACAGGGAAATGAAACTTGTAGGATCTAGTATCCATTATGAGTCCCACAACTTGTATATCTCGGATTTTTCCTAAAGGTCATATGAGGTCAGGTCATTTTCGTGACCTCACCATTATAAGTCAATGGGGAAAAATTCAAACTGCTATTCTGGCGCCGGGAACGATCTCCAACTATCTCAAGCACACAGAATCGTGATTTGATGCACTCCTTGCAAGGTTAGATGCGTCACTTTTGCAATGTTGACCTTGCTGACGTCATTTATGACGTCATCAAGGTCAAATTAGTTTTTCGTCAATAACTCTTGATCAAGTTGAGCTAGCGAGTCGAAAAAGGCACCAATGGACTCAGGAAGGCCTGCCGAATCGAATGATATGCGACATGACCTCTTTCGACCAACTTCGTGACCTGGGGGTGCTGACCTGACCTTGACCTGAGGTCAACACCCCAAGTTGACCTGACCCGGACAAAAAGTATATCATTCGACGCGCCTAAGCGAGGCGAACACGATGCTGCCAAAATCGGCGCTCTGCGGCCGTTTTTTGCGAAAATATTCACCAAAAACTGAACCGTACCCTGGGGCACTTGACCTGACCTCAGAGGTCACCGGTTGACCTAGGACCTTAAAATCGGGTACAAATCTCTGCGTCTCGTAACGGCGCACACGCTCGTTTTTTCCGCGACGCGCTAGCTACACCAGGGGCGAAACGGCGAGGGGGGGGGGGTCGTACCCGCCCCCCCCCCCTCGGCCGGCGCGTATGTAGAAAACCAATAGGTCCGGCGAGGGTTAACTAGGGACAGGCCTCCGGGATAAGCTTGAGACATATACTATCCCAAAAATATACAAATATGCACAAGCATGCGAAATATCATACGCATGAAGTGCGATAAGATAAATCACATACACCCATACACAGTGGACCCTTCATAAGGATTTCAAATGCATAACTTAATGATAAACGAACTGCTAGTGCTCTTTGGTCTTATGCACTTGCCGCGGCCAAGCGAAGACTAGCCAACACTCGTGGTTGCACTCTCATCAGGCATATATATGTAGGTACACAGGCACTCCCAATAGCAAGAAAGCTCAAAGCTGCGCTATAAAAATAGGACGGTCACCACCAGACCAGCATCATCCTCGTCATTACGTTAATGTCCAAAAACACGTCAATCTCTCCGCCGTCTGGCAACAGTCTGTTGCCAGAGACGCTGAAGTAATTCGATGAAATGGCTGGTATTTCGGTCCACAGGGGTGTCACCAGCCCGGTTTCATCAGAAGTTAGTGGAAAAAGTCGCATACGATGGGGTTGTTTCTTAGGTTCAACTGAGAGCCGTCCCCAGGGGCACGGCCGTTCTGGCTCCTGGCCAGCTACTAGCTCTGAGAGTAAGTGATCAAATACCCGACCGGATGTTTCGCGCGAAAGAACGTCAGCGCCTAGGCGCTGTTCCCCTCTCACAAAGATTCAGATATTCTGCAAATTGAAAACTACAAACACCATGGCGGTACGTCTTGACTAAAAAAAAAAAATATATTCCGGGTCATTTTTGTTTTACTCCACTGCCCCTACAAGAGGGAATCGGTTCACTGGTGAAGTAGGACAATAAGCTTCCATGCGGCGCAGATGTCGCTTGGAAAGGTGGCAACATTGCGCTACATCGGCTTATCGTCCTCACTTATGTAGTCCTTGCTGTATCTTTTCATTACCAAACGTTTCAAACTTTTTGTCCAAACACATTTCTGCCAGTTGCGACCTCATTTGCACGTAACTATCACCATAACATTATCACCACAGTCATGTCTACCCTTTGATGCCATTCTTGAAGAGGGGCTAGGACAATATACGTGAGCGGACTGAAGTCGTTAGAAGCGTCACTATTACCAACCCTGTAGCTAGGACTTTATGTAAGAGGACAGCGAATTCAAATGCTACCCTCAGATGAGGAAAGTACGCAAGCGGACTGAACAACGAACTCAGAGACCAGCCAGCCTGAACATAGGCGCGCGGTGCTTCAGTTACTGAAGTACGGCTGTCCAAATGGTGCCCAGTGTCTCGTCAGCCGTCAGCCAGCAGACAACAGACAGCAGCATCCTTCCCGGCCAGCTCGATGGGACGAGTGTTGACTGTAACAACAACAACTGTAATTACATTACCACCGTGGCCGGGGCAATTCTGACAATGCTCTATCCAGGGCATCTAGAGATCAATGCTGCAGTGCATCTTTGGTGATGGGTGGTGATCTTTGAACTTTGTCTTTGCCGAGTGTGTATGATTGCATTGCATACCTATATGCCCAAACTGTCCCCGCACTATCCCGTGTCCGTGTGTTTCAGTTGCGCCTCTGAGCGTCTATGAGTGTATACTATGTTTCCCAAAGTCACCCAGCACCATCCCGTGTCCGTGTGTTTCCAGTCGCTCCGCTGAGCGTGTCCATCCTGGGCAAGGGCGAGCCGCTGTCGGCCGGTCGTCGCTACCCGCTCGTGTGTCAGTGTGTCGGCTCCCGTCCTCCGGCCGCCATCACCTGGCTCCTGGGCAGCTCACGGATGGCCACCGCCCCCGGCACGGTAAGTTACCGCTCTATTACCATGGTAATTCGCCCTATGAAGGTGACCAACACATCCGGTTACGTAAGGTTATTGTCATTGCCGTGCCCCATTTTCCGCAGTAGAGGCGATAAAGTATGTGATGGCCTGGCTGAAAGGATTAAAAATGACCGAGCTGATTTTGTGCAACCAAAGATTTTAGTGATATGTTGCATATTCTTACCTTTTATGCTGAAAATGAAGCCATTTTTTGCGCAATTTCTTCATTACAAGATCCTTATTTCATAATCTTCCTTTCATCGGTATTTGGGTTTAGGCATTGACCTGTTGACGTCATACTTAGCCTCGGCTTCCATTCGAATAAGAGCAGCAAATATGAAACCATCGTTCAGCAGGCCTGGCAGGTGCACAATAGCGCTGTTCTGCACAGATCACCTACCATTGGCGTTCTTGAAAGTGACTAGATTTAGCCCTGATACTGGCTCCGCTGCTTCGGTGCGGTCGAACCTCTTCGAACAGTCCCAGACCGTTTTGTGTTATAATTGCAGCTTGTAAACCTCAGGAAATCAGAACGTATCGGTCGTTGTACTGCATACTGGCCAATATACCACGCCGCTCTGTCGCTGTTACGGCAAAGTGCACAAACTTCTGGCACGGTGACGGCGCCGTAGATTCCTGTAAAAGTTTCGGGACAACGTGTCTCCTAACGGCAGAGCGCTAGTGTTCCGCCTTAGATGAACATCTTACTGCAGAAAGAGCCATCCAGCGGCGCCCAACTCGCGCTGAAAGTGCACCGTGGAATGTCACTATCTCTCGATAGTTTGGGTCTTTTGTTGACATCTCGTCTGATTGAATTTGGTTCCTAGGGAACAAATGTTGGCGCTTAGGTATATTTGTCAACCAAACAGCATATCTGAGATTGAAAATATAGACAGCATTTGTGCGGATAGGAAATTAAATTGCATATTGACATCAGCAGCTATAGCGTGCTAAGGCCTATCAAATGAAATACCCGCGCTCAGATGGAGATCACTCAGCCTAACGCGTCAGTATTTACCGTTTTCAGACAATTCACCAGGGCAACATTACCATGTCGACGCTGGAGTTGACGCCGTCCCCGTCCAACAACGGCCAGCAGCTCTCCTGCCGATGTGACAACCCGGTCCTGGCCACCCCGGCACTGCGCGACTCCTGGACACTGGCAGTGCATTGTGAGTACCGTCCTGGCCACCCCGGCACTGCGCGACTCCTGGACACTGGTAGTGCGTTGTAAGTATGGCCACCCCGGCACTGCGCGACTCCTGGACACTGGCAGTGCATTGTGAGTACCGTCCTGGCCACCCTTGCACTACGCGACTCCTGGACGCTGGCAGTGCATTATGAGTACCGCCCTTGGGGCATGGTATTGCGCGACTCCTGGACATTGACATTCAGAAAGTGCATTGTGAGTACGACCTTTGGGGCATGATGCTGCCGGACTCCTCAATACTGACGTCCACGGAAATAATTTTTGCCCACCTTTGGGGCACGGTACTGCAACTTGTAAGACTCCTCCATGCTGTTCGTCATTACGAGTTTGTCCTTGAAGGGCGTGGCTACGCACGAGCCCTAAATATTGACCGTTCATTGTAAGTAAGACCTTTATATGGCACAGTACTGCACGACTCCCCAATATGTCGACAATGACGATGACAAAGAGACGAGTAGGCCAGTAAGCCCAATCTCGAAGGCACGGCGCCGGCCGAGAACAGCGTACCCGGTGACACAGCCGTAAGTGGGTTTTGATAGTCGAATGCCATCGGCGGCGTCCAGTTTCGATCAGACGGTACGGCCGGCCGGCTGCGACCGAACGGTCGACGGCTGCCTGTTTATGACATCCGGTGAGGCCGGCGCGCTGCCTCGCGACTGCAAGAATTGGAAAAGGGTGGCGACAAACGGCCGAGGTATGGCCTGAGACAGAGGTCAGATGGACGCAGATACGCGTGGACTGGTGCGAGATGCGAGCTAGACGGTCCAGGCACACACCAGTTGATTGAGCACGAAGGTGAGCTCTGTATCAAGGCCCTGCTCACTCTGTCTGAGACGCGGACGCAGCTCATTTAACTATTCCGGTCTGGGACTGAAATTAGTGAGACCATTTTTCTCGTCTGAGCTAGAGTGATTTGTGGTTCTCTTGTCCTTGGCTGTCTGAAAATACTCTGAACTGGAAAGGTCAGCATGCGAAAGTGAAAGATTGCCATGCTAGGGAGATTAACTTAACTGCTCTATTGAAGCAGGTAAACGGAAAGGTTTGTGTGGTTCTGCTCAAATACTTAAAAGAGAATTACGTGATTTGGGTGTGCTGGTCTGCACACGTGAAGTAGCAAACCATCTGTAATGCATCAACAGATGGACGATTGTGAAGATGAGGCTTTCATCGTTAGCAAAGGCCCGTGTTCGCTCGTAACGGCGCGACAATGATACCCTGTCGTTCGCGTTGCACTCAAATTACCAGCAGGCAGCAACTGAGGTAGATCATTGGTTTGTAGCCCCTTTATAGGATCATCTCTATGTGATCTTGCTATTTCGATAAAGCATATTTGGTCTGCCGTCCGTTTCTGTTGCTGGAAGCATGAACACGCCGGGAATAGCGTATCGGTCCCATGGCGCGTGCATCAATTGCCGTCATCCACTGCCTGTGTGACTGTCCCCAGAGGTCAGAGCCTGTCCCAGCGCCGTTTTTCTCTGTTAGCCTAAGATAAACGTTGTTTGATCTGCCGATATTTGGAGACAGTGTTCGTCAAGGAAGAAGAGAGACGTAGCGAAATGTTTAAGTGGCATAGGTTTGTAGGGAGAATATCACCCGCTGCATTACCAACCACAAACAACAGGGGACATTTTCTAAACATTAGCCGTTTTCACGACGGGCTATCCGGTGAATGCACCTACTTTGGCCAAATCTGCACCTAATCTCTTTTCCGGCAAATATCTTCATTTTATGAATTTATTTCAGTGTTTTAAGTTTTAACCCTCGCCGGCCGAGAGGGGGGGGGGCGGGTGCCGCCCCCCCATAGGGTTTTTTCGCGATAGCTCCGAACACGCTGGCGATAGAGAGCTGAAACTTGGCATACCTGACCTTTGATCCAAGCCGGATCTTTTGACACCAACCGCATTTTTGGGTCAGGTCAGGTCACTGACCTATGACGTCATAAGTGAACCTCTGCACGGTCTTCAGATGTCGCAACTTCGCAACGCCCTCACTGCCAGAGGAGATGTCACAGGAAAATGAAACTTGCAGGATCTAGTATCCATTATGAGTCCCACAACTTGTATATCTCGGATTTTTCCTAAAGGTCATATGAGGTCAGGTCATTTTCGTGACCTCACCATTATAAGTCAATGGGGAAAAATGAAAACTGCTATTCTGGCGCCGGGAACGATCTCCAACTATCTCAAGCACACAGAATCATGATTTGATGCACTCCTTGCAAGGTTAGATGCGTCACTTTTGCAATGTTGACCTTGCGTGACGTCATTTATGACGTCATCAAGGTCATATTAGTTTTTCGTCAATAACTCTTGATCAAATTGCGCTAGCGAGTCGGGAAAGCCACCAATGGACTCAGGAAGACCTGCCGAATCGAATGATATGCGACATGCTCTCTTTCGACCAACTTCGTGACCTGGGGGTGCTGACCTGACCTTGACCTGAGGTCAACACCCCAAGTTGACCTGACCCGGACAAAAAGTATATCATTCGACGCGCCTGAGCGAGACGAACACGATGCTGCCAAAATCGGCGCTCTGCGGCCGTTTTTGCGAAGTTTTTCACCAAAAACTGAACCGTACCTTGGGGCACTTGACCTGACCTCAGAGGTCACCGGTTGACCTAGGACCTTAAAATCGGGTACCACTCTCTGCGTCTCGTAACGGCGCACACGTTCGTTTTTTCCGCGACGCGCTAGCTCCACCAGGGGCGAAACGGCGAGGGGGGGGGGGTCGTACCCGTCCCCCCCTCGGCCGGCGCGTATGTAGAAAACCAATAGGTCCGGCGAGGGTTAACTGCTCTCTGATAATATGACAAAGCAGGCATATAACCAATTAGAGCAGCCCAAGCTGATACACTGAACCTAATTTGACCCAATCTGCACCTAATCTGCACCAGATGTGCACCAAACGTGTACCAGATGGCCGTCGTGAAGACGGCATTATTGACCAAGCGGAGATTATGGATAGGCATCAAGGTATATAACTATGTAGGCAGAAATACGCCATTTGGTACGCAGGTGCAGTGGAACACTGTCCTGATAACTGTGATACACTATTAAAGCTATATGTAGACATAAGCAGTTGTCGGTATAAATGTTCACACGTGTACGCTTGGTGACATTTCGTATCGACAGTTTCCCGAATTCATGTGCTTATAGAGTCACTTTAGCCACTGTGTCTGGCAAGGTGGGTTCCAGAATGTGAGACCGCGCTGAGTGCCCCATGAAATTGTAGTCAGTGTGATAAACGTCCACATATGGTCCTTGATAATGGCCCCACCGCATCGTAAACCTACAAACCGTCACAAGAGCCTATACACCAGGAGCTTACCCTAAATAGACAGCTTACCGCGGTCAGATTAGGTGTGAACGACCTGCAAGAAAGACGAAGAACAGGTGTTCGCTTTTTTGTCGACGGTGCTGAAGAGATATAAGAAGGACTGGCGCCAGAATTGTCACATCGCTTTCATAAAAATGAATAAAAACTTATTAAAAGCTTTGGAAAACAGTCCAATAACCAATAACCAATAAGGCTAAGAACAAGCATGCTGTAAAATGGTGCATAGTGAATTTATGTGAACAAAACAAGCACTTTTTTGGTGCCTGAGTGCCTATTACTTTTTTGTCGTCCCTCGCTGATCCATCTTTTGCCGTATCGTTCCTCGTTGGCAGTCTTTCACTGTATGTAAATACTCTCTACTTCCCCCTCTCCCTCTTTCCTCTTCTCTCCCTCCCTCCCTCTCCCTCCTCCCCCTCTCTCTCTCGTCTTGTTCCTCTCTCCTAAGCTGTGCCTTGATATGTGCCGTTGTCCCATCTCGCTGTCTTTTTCCTGCACAATGTGCCGTCTCTTGAAATTCCCTCCGCCCATTCTCTCGTCTTCCGTCCCGTCTTCCGTCTCCACGTCTCTTGTACCCCGTCTGACGTCTCTTGTCTCTCCCCCTGTCTCCGCTTTCCTGTCTCCACTCTCCCGTCACTGTCTTACCTCTCCTGATTCCCGTCTCCCGTCTCCCGTCTCCGCTCTGCCGTCTCTCGTCTCTCGTCTCCTGTCTCCCGTGCCTAGTCAAGCTCCCCGTCTTCAGTCTCCGCTCTCCGCTCACCCGTCTCCAGTTTCCCGTCACCCGTCCCCGCTCTCCCGTCTCCTGTCTCTATAGCCACGTTCCCCGTCTCCCGTCATTTGTCTCCTGCCCCGTTTCCACTCTCCCGTCTCCCATCTCCCATCTCCCATCCTCCGTCTCCCATATCCGCTCTCCCCCCTCCACTCTCCCTACGCTCACGTTATTCCTGGACTCTCGTGGGCGGCCTCGGAGCCCGGTGCGTGACCTCCACCATCGGCTCGGCCGGAGACCAGTCGTCTCCCTGTCAGTCCCTCGATTAGCGGCGCTCCACGCGCCGTGTGGGGAACACATGCACCAGGAGCTAATGGTGACTCGACGGCAGGAACACGTGGAATAGAGGACGCGATGATACACATTACACACTAACACAGGCTGGAGGCGAAACTAGTGTTATGGTTATTTTATGGAATCTATAATCGTATGCACATACCTTTGGATGGGGTGGGTGAATCATCGAAAGGAAGAGATAAGCACACACATAGTAATAAGGCTTGCAACTTTTAAAATGTCAGGAGCGAAAGCTATCATTTGGGAGCCTTCTTACTGTGGAGGCTATGCTCACCCTGAACGCAATGTCTTATGTTCCCTGCGTTTTTTGTGGTGAGGGAGGCTTTTAGCGCGCTGCCGAATCATCGAAGTTCAATTAATACAAATCACTTAATGACTAAATATATTCTTTTTTTTTGCATCAAGTGTTAATTCAACGCTTTCAAAGTGAAAGCAACCAATTGAAACTAAATTTTTCCGGGCATTTACGTACGCACAAAGCCTGAGGTCGATGAGAACGTCGCATGCCCTAGTTTCTCCGAATGCCGCGTCATGTTGAGCTGTGACCGCCTTCCTGGGCCCTTCATTTCAAGCCTCAGTGACTTCTTTTTCAGCTGGTCTTTGAAAACCAAATAGCCCCGCTGTGGCACTGCGCTTTGATCTTATATTCATTGGCAGTAATGTGAGGTCCCGCGATGTTTAGTCGACTAAATGCTTGTTGGTCTGACACATTACATGCTCGCACAATTTAGCAAGCTCAGCTGGTATTATCGAATGGATTTCCAAATGTGTAGCCTAGAAACGTATAAACCTGCTGCTGCATCAGGCATCATATTCCCGATCCCAGTAACTATTTTAGTTAAGCACTTTGCATTATTGGTTGTCTCCATTGAATCAATTGCCAGTGGTAGGGATATCTCCGTTATGCTATACACCCGAGGTATAAGCGCTCTATGATCTTGGCACCAACATTATCTGACCTCCCGCCCACAGATGCTCCGGTGGTCAGTCTGACAATGGGCAGCTCTCTGGACCAAGACAGGATCAAGGAAGGCGACGATGTCTACTTCGAGTGCAGCATCAGGGCCAACCCGCCCGTGTACAAAACCGAGTGGAGACACAATGTAAGTACCTTCACTCGGCAAGTAATTGGCCGAATGAGAATTAGAATTGCGTCCATTGATGCTATAAAAAGTGTGGTGCTACATTACCACGTCTGCACTCAAATGATGCTTGCTATTCTGATTCCTATTGAACTATGGTGCAGTGAAACAATAATGTCACACAGTGTTCCACCCTGAAAAAGCGCGAGGAAATGAAGCCCATTAGCTCTCTCCCATCCCAACACCATCCGTCATAATTAATTCAGGGGATGAGGTGGCTGGCACGACAACCCGACCATTTCTAAACGTGAAATGGATGGCGGCGCCTCAGGAAAAATAATGAGAGAATTAGTATTAATGAGGTATGGCGATTTTCTTGTATTAGGGCTGATAATTTGATCTCGCTTGCTTAGGTTTGAAACAATCTCTTGCTATGTGATTTTTGCTTATTCATACACCACTCATCCTAAACGTTCCACCAACGTTTGCTAGGTAAAGTCTTTCTGAACTTTTTCATTAGGGAAAATGACAGTAAATTCTTTCAAAACTTGCCATAAACCCTTTTCCCGCTAACAAGTTTTGTAATTAAGGCAAATTAATTCATAAGTGGATAACCAGCCAACTACGAGCTGCCTAATGTGTGGCGTGGCACTCTAGCGCCACGAGAAGTTGAAGAATTCTACGAGAAGTTGTGAGGAACTAAAACTTACGTAGACACGGTGGATCTTGTCTGGGTCGTTTTTCTTCCCAGGAAGAATGATAAAACTGGGACAGGGATAATATGCTCCCATCGACCATCCTGTGTTGAATGATGTGCTGGTTCGCATGGTGCTACAGAGTGCAGACCATTTGGTCCTCTTTGCCTTGTAGACAAGTGCCTGCCTAGTCATACGGCCAAACCAACCTGTCACATGCAAACTGACCAGCACAGCACCGAGCTTTCCGCACCGTAAACTTATGCGCAAAACCTGTTTCTAGAACCGAGTCCTGCTGCACAGCGTGAGGGACAACATCATCATCAGCAACTACAGCTTGGTGCTGCAGGACGTCAAGCGCTTCAGCTCTGGAGTCTACCTGTGCGTCGGCAGCAACGCCCAGGGCAGCGTGGACAGCAACCCCGTATTCCTTGACGTCAAATGTAAGTTGTGCTGATCCGGGGTGTGGTTACGTAGAACAGTTTAACTTCTAATGAGCTTTTAGGAGTAATTCGGGTGCATTTTACATACACCCGAATAAATTGTATGCATTGTTCGTTGTCATAAAGCGCCACTCCGCATCGCAAGCCGGTCGGCCATTAAACAGTGCTAGCCGAACTGCTAATCTGACCATTTAAACCATTGCCGGGTGAACTTTTCGATCGATATCTTGATTGGCTGGAGTTCGGATGTGGCCAGATTGATGGCTGCCGCCCGGGCTGTTCACATCTCAGAGTTGAACTGCTGACCATTAGCCCTGCCAACATGGTCGTTCATTGTTCGGCGCCCGGCGGTTGGCCTCCGTAGTAAGTATAGTAAGGCCAGCCCGCTGCCACATGAGTTGATTGCACGGTAGCTGATGCATGCCGCCGTCACCCATTAGCCCGTGTTGAGATGCAGCCGTGACACCTTGGGGTGTGGAGTACAGCCGACCCGCGCTGCCAGACTTCCTCAGGAGCGGGGATCAGGGGGCGGGCCGGGCTCCGTCCGCGCCCGGCTGATTGATCAACTTCCCAGAGCCGGCCGCGGGCAGTCCAACTCACTGGGAGCTGCGGCGGCCGTCATGGGGTCGCACTATTGACAGCTGACCGCCGCTGGGACCCGGCAGAGACCGTGGGACGGCGCCCGTCATTGATCAGTTGTAAATAGCTGCCCCGCGAGAGGTCACATCAAGCTCGTCCAGCTGATCCTCATCGATGTCCGTATGTGCAACAGGCAAACAGGGAGTGTAGGGAGAGAAGGAAGCATATGTAGTCGGCTGGATAGTTCCTTTAGTGACGTGACGCTAGAGTTAAAGGGACCCTCCCACCTTAACATTAGTTTTGAGTTGAGATAGCCAAATTGGTGGCCATGGCCTGCAAATACCGGTTTGGGCACTCACAACATCGAGAAATGCTTTAATTCGAAGATATGGAAATTCAAACTTGCAGTTTTCGGATTCTAAGGGGCTAATGCATTGGTACGCCCCCTTAGAATTTGTGACGTCAGCGGAGATCTAACGATTTTTAAATCTTAGACTAAAACCATCGTTAACACGTGGTGGTATACGCTGCTTTGTGCGCAACGTCTGCCGCACTTTAAGGCTGCCAAATTATTGCTTCCAAATAAAGTCGCTAGTAACAGGGAGATCCCAAAAAGTAAACAAAAGTAAAAGCCTAATATCTTGAAAACCAGTGAATATTTTTCGGTGAAATTTGGTAGATATTCGTTTTCGCTCTTTCTGAACCAAGGGACATCACTTTCATGCCAATTCATTAACTTTTTTGAAGGTGGGAGGGTCCCTTTAATCATACTAACAACGGCTTTGAGGTCAACGTCACATCGACACCTTTTTAAACCCCACATCTGCTCTCCCGTGAATTTCCGGGAGGCACGAAAGATCTCCTTTTAGAAGTGTCCAATCGTCCGATCCTGATCAAATATGTGTGTTCGTAGGCCTGTTCTGGTATTGCTTTATCTGCCAAGACAGAAAAACTTGAGAAAAATCGAGTGATTGTACCTTTTTTGAAGGTCTCTAACCAACTTGTATGAAATTCATCGGAGAATAAATGTGGGGTTTAAAAAGAAGGTGTCGACATGTGACACGACTAACGGGATAAAGAGTTCGCATCGTTTTATGCCTTCTTATTTTATTGTCATGTTATTTCATTTATTTTGCAATCTGCATTGAAGTGTACAAGTCTTTTGAGATGCTAAGTAAAAAGGGAGTGGTTTTGGAGGGAACATCGAAAAAGAAAGAAAGAGAGAAAGAGAGAGAGCAAGAGAGAGAGAGAGAGAGAGAGAGAGAGAGAGAGAGAGAGAGAGAGAGAGAGAGAGAGAGAGAGAGAGAGAGAGAGAGAGAGAGGAGTGCACTAGCGCATGCGGCTCCAAGACAGATGGATCCGACTATTTTAACGACGGAAATAGAAGCCATTTTTCACATGCCTAGATTCAACGTAGAAGTCTGAAATGTTCCAGCTAAAGCGAAGCGAGTTGGTTGAAATGGAGTAAACGAGAGATTGAATGACATTTTTGTTATACATTGTGATTCTGTTGTCAAATTGAGTATCATTAGGATATTGTTGCGTACGGGCATATACCTACGCAGCACGGGCCAATGGAAAGGCATTCGATTTCTCGTAAAAATTTCCGTCAATTCCAGGTCACCTCAACAAAGTGTGAAGCTATCGACCGAAAGTGGTACATCTGTTCTGCTTTCAACCGTTGCCATTCAATCACCATCGCCCCACTGTCAACCGACTCCCCACCATTGCCCAGCTGCCACTGCCAAATGCCCACTGTTCAGTCGTCACTGTCCAATGCCAACTGCCCAGTCACCATTGCCCACTGCCCAGTCACCACTATTCAATGCCCACTGTCCAGTCGCTACTGTCCAGCCGCCAGTGCCACTGTCCAGTGACCACTCCCACTCCACTGAACGTGACGTTGCTGACCATGACCCCCCCCGTTCCCAGTCCCTCCCGTCTGCCAGCCAGGTCTTCAACACATTCACGGCGTCAGCAAACGCGAGACGGCGTACGTGCAGTGCAGCGTCACGGCCAACCCTTCCGCCGGCGTGCGCTTCCACTGGACGTTCAACAACACGTCCGAGTGGCGCGAGCTGGACAGCCGCCTGGTGAACAGCAGTCAGACGCGCAGCACGCTCCGCTACCGGCCGCGCACCGAGATGGACTACGGCACCGTCTTCTGCTGGGCCACCAACGACATCGGACGCATGGCCAGACCCTGCGTCTTCCACATCATCGCAGCAGGTCGGTATTCCACATCATCACGGCAGATTTCATTTAGCATTTCGACAGCAGAGCGAAACGCTAAGGATCGTGGGTGTGGAAGATATTCAGGTTTGAGTGTCGAAAAGCTTGCACAATGCACATTAAAGCATTTCTATTGATGAGGAAGGCACCCATGTGCTTCTTATTTTTGCCGTGTGACTAACAAGGACATATGATTGCAATTTCAGAGTAGATGCGTACTTCATGCAGTAACTATTTCTGACGGTTCGTCCATCCGCGACAGGTCCTCCGGACCCACTCTTCAACTGCAGCCTCACTCAGCGGACGGCCACCGCTGTGACCGTCCGGTGCCTGGAGGCCTTCGACGGCGGTCTCGTGCAACGTTTTCTGCTGGCCGTGTTCAGCTATGACGACCAGGTGGGTAGAACCTGCACATATTGTAGAGCGTGCACAGACTGCATAGGTGCACTTATCGCGACGGATATGCTGAATGGCCGCCCGCCGCAGTAACACAACGAGCCATTAAGTTCAAAAGTTCAGTGGGAGGAGCATCAAACGACCTCTCCCTGTGGTAGCCCTTTGATGTTAATTCTTCTGTGGGTGGAGGAGATCCATATACTGGCTTGAAAAGAACTACACGCCGAATGCCGATGTCGATGCCATGCCATACCATTTTCAAAGGCGCCGGCGGATTGAAAAAGATACTGCAGTGTGTCATATTAAACAACGTCGTATTTCCATTGTCTCGTTTAATTGCGTCAAAAAGGCAGATTTTAACCCTCGCATGTGTAGGGGGGGGGTCGGATGGACCCCCCCATGGTTTTTCGCGAATAACTCGCGTAAAAAGCGGCCGATCGCGACGAAACTTTCAGTACCCTCGCATTGATCAATTTTACACCTACCCTGAAAATTTCATGACCCTGACCCAAATGACCTTTGACCTATGACCTCTTTTCCGAGACCATGTTTGGCCGGAATCGCGATTTCGCGTATGTCGGCTCGCACTAGCCGCGCGTTTGCAAGCTTTTCGTGGTTTCAAACGTTCAAACATGTGATTTGATGTTACTCCCGTGGGTGTCAAGGTCACTTGAAGGTCAGGTCAGGTCATTGACCTTTGGTGACCTCGGGTGACCTCGGTTCAATTTTTCGAGTTTTACATGTTTCTAGGCTAGTTTTTGGAGCTGAATTCGAATTTAGCAACCATTTGAACATTTACGAAGTAGTTTTGGTGACTTCGTAACATGTTACGAAGCTGTCAGAGGCGGTTGACACGTACTACGAATACCCGTCACGACGCCTACTGGTTGACCTGACCTGACCTGACCCGACCTGGTCTAAATGCTTCAAGACATCATCTGTGATCAAAACTAACACGATATTCGTGATCAGCACCCCGAAAAACCCCTTAGCAGCCACACTTTACGACTTTCTAACAGGTCCCGATTTTCCCGACTTTGGGTCATTGACCTGACCTGGAAGGTCAACCAATGACCTAGGACCTTAAAATTGGGTATCATCGGCTTCCTCTCGTCACGGGCAACACGCTCGTTTTTTTCCGCGAAGCTCTAGCTCGATCAGGGGCCAAACGGCAAGGGGGGTCCAACCGACCCCCCCCCCCTACACATTAGAAGCTGGCAAACGCCGCACACATGCGAGGGTTAATTAGCTTCAGCAACTGTAAAAACCTTAGTAGGTACAAGGCATATCGTTCAATAGCAACATATGAAGAATATGATGAGTACAACGATACGTTTATATGAATACAACATGTGAAGCATATGAAAAATACAACGATATGCATTGTAGGGGAGAGCGGGGTCAAATGTAACACGGGGCAATTGTAACAGTGTTAATAACTCATAAACTTACCAATAGAATGAGCTGATGTTAAGACCGAAAATGCGTAATTCTATACTGCCTTTCTCAACGGAGTTTGAAGCGAGAGTGCCGGGTATGTCGATGGCTGTGCACAGTAATGTGTTTTTGAGAGCATTTTGTAAATTCTTATACCGTTATATTTGATTAGCTCATTCCCGCCATTGAAATGTTATCGACTTCAGATGTTGTGTAAGCGTTGGCAGGCTTGTTGTACATAAATTGAAAGCATTAAATGCTGTACATGCAACATCTTTTTTGCGCCAGTTTCGTCTAAAATATATCAAGGCGCGATGGGGACAATTGTAACATTTTTGCAGGGGTCAAATGTAACAGGTTATAGGTCAGTGACCATTATGTCAAAGTCGTCAAATTTTCCAGGGAGATGAAACATTGCTAGAAGAATTAAGAGAACTGTAAGTTTTGTCGCAATTGGCAGCTTTTTACGCGATTTATTTGCGAAAAACCGAGGGAGAGGAGGTCCATCCAACCCCATGTATAAGTGCGAGGTTTTAAGCCTTTTTTCCTAAGAAGAACCGTACCTACCAAGTCTGGGAAGATGAACAAGTGTTCAATACTTTTGTTAAATCAAAGTTTTGGAAAAAAATGTGTTGCTGTGGCCTGAAAGTTAACATGTTACAATTGTCCCCGGGTGGTGTTACTTTTGACCCCGTATCTGGGGTGAATTGTAACAGCTGAATTGACTTTTTCGGACCACAATTTTGACCAGAATAAGAAGTTATTTCGCAAATGTTTTAACTTCATTTTAAAGACAAAACATCATAGTTTCTGAAAATAAAGGAAAGAGCTTTATAACTGCGAACGTGTTTGCACCAGATGATAAAATGCAAAAAATGTTACAATTGACCCCGTTCTCCCCTACTAATGCTTTTACTGCTGCTGTAGCCAACTAGTTAAACACCGTCCTGTGCAATCCGAAGATCCTCGGCTACATATGAGGTTCATAATAATTCATTCTTGCACTTGCAGCTGGTGTACAACAAGACCTCGTCGCAGCCCGAGTGGCACGTGGAGGGTCTCGTCCCCACACAGCGGTACCGCATCCTGGCGCTGTCTGAGAACGACAAGGGCAGGAGTGCCACCGTGACAATCCCGATGAGCCCCCTCTCCGGTCCCGAGACACACGTCGAAAAGGTTCAAGGTAAAGAGTGCTGCAAACAGCCTACTTGCAAGAAACAATTAGCACAATTCTTGTTAATGACACATTAATATGAACACTAACAATAAAATTGGGCGCAAATTGAAGTGATAAGCTTACATCAATTTTCGCAACCCATCATGACCTGAGCAGGCAAAAGCCCTTTCGTTATTGGAGTTGTATGCCATTATTCATGGAATCTCATCTAACGTTGCTCAGCTGCTGGGTATAACTGCATCTATCCTTGCTTGTCAGATTTCACGCTGGCTGAGATGCAGCCGGGCCCGACAGCACGCTCCCCTCTCCTGGCCATCGCTCTCGGGGGGCTCGGCTCGGTGGCCCTGCTGCTGGCGGCCGCTGCCGTCGTGACCTTGACCCGGCGCAGAGGTCGCCGCCAGAGGTCTCTGCTGGCGCCGCGCGCTGCCTCCGCTACTCCGCCGGACTCCGGTCGCAGCCCCGACCTCGTGCCTGATACTACCGGTAAGCGCCGCCACGCCGCAGTCAATAGATAGATCTATTGACGGCGAATGCCACCCCCATCTATAGGGATCCCTATCTATAGGGCTGGCTCTCAGCTCGATGTCAAGTAAGTACCGATTCTTACCGGAACCGGAGGTATAGGTATAGCAACATAAACCAAAGGTGAGTGATGGCTGATCACACACCGTCGGTAAAAAGATACGTATTTAGTTACCTAGCCCAAGCTGAGTTTTTCATAGAAAGAATAATTCATACAGAAACAAAACGTTCGCGAGTAAGCTTCCTCTCTTGTATACGGAAGCGTTTGCTCGTAAAGGTTGAAGGACTCACACTTCCGTCTCATGCCGTGTCACCCCTACCGATTGAAAGCCCAAGCAAGTTACTGCCAGGAAGTTAGCTCCGATAGGCCTGTGTCGACACTTTAATCTCTGGTGCTGCCCAACTTGGTTATGGTATGTGCTTCCTGCTACCTACTGAAAGCTGTCGCTGCCTGGCGCCTCAGTTGACTGCTCTGAACTCCACCTTTGCCTAGGTCCCTATGAGCTTGGCCGAGACCTTCAGTCATTGATCGTCTCTTGCGACACAAGAGTTAGCACACCACCTTCCGGTGGCTGTCCCAAGTCATTTAAGATGATAGCTGGTGACCCAGGAGAGAACTTGCACCACTTCTGGTCTCTGATCAAAGTTTGAGTCGACCTTGTCGGTTCTGGTGACCCCGGAGCATGGGATGCTTTGCCGTGATGACCTTGTTAAAACTTCCCCGTTCGTCTCATTTACATAAAAATGCCGCTGTTTTGGGTCACTGACTAAAATGCGGTACCTATAAAAAGAAGCTAATGCGGTACCTATATAACACGGTAGATCAAATACGACACATTCTCCCACATGGTGACCCATGGTAGGAGAATGATGGTGACCCATCATTCTCTAATACAATGTGCATTGACATTTGTCAACATCAACATGTTTGTCGTTACCCACCTCGAAAACAACTATTTTCAACGCTTTTTTATCGATGAACGCAAGTATAACGTTAAAGCACAATCCTCTCCTTCATTTCCTCGCCCAGGTGTCCTGAACCGTTGGACAGCCACCGTGATGTATGACGTCTGCCGTCTGTTCCAGGTCCTGATCAGGAGGTGTATCGCATTCCTCCGGACATCCCGGCTCTACCGGCGGGCGCTCGGAGCGCGGCAGTGGCCGGCCAGCGCGTCAGGACGCACCCAGACACTGACCACCTGCCGCTGAGGGTGTTCGTGCCGCACCATCACCAGCTGTATCATCACCATCACCACCATCACCATCACCAGCCGATCCGACACGCCGCCGGCCATACGGTAAGAGGGGGAGGGTCGAATGGAAACGTGCTATAGAGGCCGAAGATGATGCAAATATTTACCGATTGAGCGGAGCAATGTGGAACATTGTCATAACGGGCAATGTATAAGATTGCAACAAGACCATACGCACACCTCTTTATCCTGACCAATAGGTTAACCCTCGCCGGCCGAGGGGGGGGGGGCGGGTGCCGCCCCCCCCCCATAGGGTTTTTTCGCGATAGCTCCGAACACGCTGGCGATAGAGAGCTGAAACTTGGCATACCTGACCTTTGATCCAAGCCGGATCTTTTGACACCAACCGCATTTTTGGGTCAGGTCAGGTCACTGACCTATCACGTCATAAGTGAACCTCTGCACGGTCTTCAGATGTCGCAACTTCGCAACGCCCTCACTGCCAGAGGAGATGTCACAGGGAAATGAAACTTGCAGGATCTAGTATCCATTATGAGTCCCACAACTTGTATATCTCGGATTTTTCCTAAAGGTCATATGAGGTCAGGTCATTTTCGTGACCTCACCATTATAAGTCAATGGGGAAAAATGAAAACTGCTATTCTGGCGCCGGGAACGATCTCCAACTATCTCAAGCACACAGAATCGTGATTTGATGCACTCCTTGCAAGGTTAGATGCGTCACTTTTGCAATGTTGACCTTGCGTGACGTCATTTATGACGTCATCAAGGTCAAATTAGTTTTTCGTCAATAACTCTTGATCAAATTGAGCTAGCGAGTCAGAAAAGGCACCAATGGACTCAGGAAGGCCTGCCGAATCGAATGATATGCGACATGACCTCTTTCGACCAACTTCGTGACCTGGGGGTGCTGACCTGACCTTGACCTGAGGTCAACACCCCAAGTTGACCTGACCCGGACAAAAAATATATCATTCGACGCGCCTGAGCGAGGCGAACACGATGCTGCCAAAATCGGCGCTCTGCGGCCGTCTTTTGCGAAGTTATTCACCAAAAACTGAACCGTACCTTGGGGAACTTGACCTGACCTCAGAGGTCACCGGTTGACCTAGGACCTTAAAATCGGGTACCAATCTCTGCGTCTCGTAACGGCGCACACGCTCGTTTTTTTCGCGACGCGCTAGCTCCACCAGGGGCGAAACGGCGAGGGGGGGGGTCGTACCCCCCCCCCCCCTCGGCCGGCGCGTATGTAGAAAACCAATAGGTCCGGCGAGGGTTAATTATAAGGTAAAAAAAAATAGTGCCATTCGCTATTAACCGCAAATTATTGTTGCAAGGAAAGATGAAAACAAACTAAACACGAATTTTTGAACGGTTTCCCGAAGGGGATACAATATACTTTCAAAACCCGCTAAGATATTTTCACGGTTGCATTACCTCAACTTTTCTCTCACATCGCAGGCTGGGCCGTTCTGCTCTGCGACGCTGCCGCCCCCTCACCGAAGACTTCCTCCTCCCGGTTGGGCTCAGAGCGCGTGCGCAACACTGGACCGTCGCCGTGCACACGGGCCGCCGTCACAGCGCCTAGAGACCGGCCGGCCGCCCGAATCCACCCACTCACACCTGATTGGTGCTCAGCAGTACCAACAGAGCGTGCTGATTGGCTACGGCCCCGAGCAGAGCGCACTGATTGGCTACGGCCCCAACGAGAGCGCCCTCTGACCGGTCAAGGCCATTGGCCGAGCGGCTGTGGAGTGCTGCCATTGATCGGGAAATATCGGTCGCTGTGTGATCAGTGATTGTTGTCAGAAATCATGCCTTCATGTGTCCTCGTTGCTCATGAACATTGAATAGCAAACGACACTGAATATACTCAAGGAATAGATGAATGTCGTGATACATTTTTCAGTTTATTATATTTTATTGTGTGTGCCAATTGTTTGCTTATCGACGTTTATGTAGGTGTGATATCGCCCCTACCTGCAAAAGAGTCACATGTTAATCATTTTATTTTTGTCTAGCCCCTTCATTACGAATGGTACCTTACCTTTTTTTTCAGTTTATTTATTGTTTCCCGATTATTGGTCTATTGTAATAAACTACTTAGAACAGGTAATGTGACTGAGAATTATTTATGACGTCAGCGATTTCAGATGTTTCACGTTATGCATGGTGTTCGTAATGTTGTGAGTAAAAACAAATGTTGTATGATGTAAATATACTGTCACTACATATAGAATCCCTGCATTAAATCTTACAGCCTTCAATACTAGATTAAAGTGGTCAGTAGTGTTAGTAAGTACTGTTTATGCTATTCTGGTAAAATAAGTTCTGTCACACCGGTTTATTCAGTCAAATGTGTCTCTTGTTTACATTGCTTACACTTTTACAGTTTCATTCATTCGTGATAATTTGTCTTAGTTTAAAATTACATTTTAAGATTTTTGTTCACGTTCTCGTGTGGGCTGTCTCGGCAGTGGGCTGTGCGTCACGAACATTAAACCCACACAGTAACAAAACTCCTCCACCTGACCCGGATGTCTCGACTACACCGTAATGTGCGCCGTGGTGGCACCGATGTTCATCAATCTGCATCTCTTTCGCCGCGTGTTGGCAGCAGACAATTAGAACAAAACAGCACCTCGGGCCATTACCGCTGGCACGCGAGCCGCCCGGCGCGCGTGTCACTTGGCACGTGCGGGGTAACAAAGCGACAACATAACAGAGGCTCACACAGAGACATCGTCACAACATGTGAGCTGACATGGTGACACCACAACATAGGAACTCTAGTAGACCACGGAGACGACAAAACATAGGAGCTGACACGGCAAGACTAGACCAGTAGACCTAGTAATATATTGAGAAGATGAGACGCAATTATCTTCATCTCAATCAGTTATGAGCAATTATTTTTTATCGACAGAACAACATAATAACGCTGCCCATGAAGCTGACATGTTGAACGATAAGTTACAGAAGGCTCAAGAAGCCAGAACCAATTATGAAGCCGTTTATTCAAAGTAATGTGATTCACATTTGTGGCGCTCCGCAACACAAACGGAGAATCATTCGGAGCACCGAATCAGACCTGGCGCCGGGCATTGCGGTCAAAATTCAGCCTGAAATAGCATTGTCCTCGGCACAATGAGACCTGACGGCTGCTGAATTTATAGCTTTCTGTTCCACCGTTCTAATCAATGCATGGCGGAACTCGGTCCGGGCCGTTCGTCCCTGGATCGAGTTTCAACAGACTTTCTGTGTTTCCCTGCCGAACGGCGCGGCGTCTCGGAGCGCTAATGATGTTGATTCTGATCTCAGATTGCCGCCCTGGGACCCTCGCTGGGGTGGAACACCCAGCAGGAGCTCCGTGGCGCAGCAGCGGACAGTTTTTCAGCGGCCGCCCGGTCAAACCGACGGTGTCGAGAGCTGACCGGATCCGCCCCAGTCGCGCCGACACTCGACCGCGATTGATCGAGGCCAAATGACGTCATCGATACATTAAGGTGCCTCCGTATAGACAGACTCTGATAGGCTGAGCGGAAGGTAATACGAAGTTATGGTCTCTTCTGCAGCTGCACGTGAGCAATGACTACGAAAAAACGAGCCCTGACTGAATAAAACCTACAGGTAATCAAGCTGCGCGCAGATAGGCTCTCGTAAAAAAAAGCCAATAGGTATATTGATACGATAAATAGGGAAGCACTGTGTCGCCAAATTTAGCATACCTAACCGTAAATCTTTCAGGCAACATCCGTTCTTCATTCTTCTTCTATATCGTGAAGTAATGGTCGATAAGCACACTGGAAATAGCCACAGACGAAATAGAATATTGTTATGATTACCTATATTTTAAGAATTGTGTGTCGGCGAGCTCATTTTTATCCCGTGGCTGCTGCCTGACGATGTTCTGTAGACCATGCACTTAAAGTAAAACAAGGAAAAAACTCTGACCTCGCCCGTTATCCTTCGCTGCATAACAATCGAGGCTAGCACTGCAGAGCCACGCCCTTAGCGAGGCAAAGTCGTGTGATAGTGTCTTTCTCGACACAAGAGGGCAAGTCAGGGGAAAAGTTCGTCCCCGTTTCTTTGCAGAGAATATGCGATTATCTTCAAACGTTCTATGTCTCTGGATCGTGCCACACGATCTATTCGTGTGTTCCTCCTAATCGCTAATTCGCCTCGTTTGGCGCTCGATTGCATCAGCAAGTCAGGTAATAGCGTGAATGATCCTGTAGAATTTATCTACTTCTCCTTCTGTCAAAGTAATAACGTCTGACTTAACCCTCGCCCGTATTGGTGTTTTTCCAGCCGCGAACGTATAAGGGGGGTCCGTTGGACCCCCCCCTTGCCGTTTCGCCCCTGATCGAGCTAGAGCTTCGCGGAAAAAACGAGCGTGTTGCCCGTGACGAGAGGAAGCCGATGATACCCAATTTTAAGGTCCTAGGTCATTGGTTGACCTTGCAGGTCAGGTCAATGACCCCAAAGACGGGAAAATCGGGACCTGTTAGAACGTCGTAAAGTGTGGCTGCTAAGGGGTTTTTCGGGGTGCTGATCACGAATATCATGTTAGTTTTGATCACAGATGATGTCTTCATGTATTTAGGTCAGGTCGGGTCAGGTCAGGTCAGGTCAACCAGTAAGATCTGACCAGTGACCTCAAATAACGAAATATGTGTTTGATGAACAATTCACCATCGATGATTTTCAATGAAATGCATTTTTTTTCGATTTTACAACGCATTTCTTAACCCTCGCCGGCACAGGGGGGGGGGTTAAGAAAACATAGCATGCCACAATAGCATGCCAGTTGATGCAACCCCCCCCCCTTAAGGTTTTTCGCAAATAACTCGCGTAAAAAACGGCCGATCGCGACAAAACTTTCAGTACCCTCGCATTGATCAATTTTACACCTACCCTAAAAATTTTATGACCCTGACTCCAATGACCTTTGACCTGTGACCTCTTTTCTGTGACCATGTTTGGCCGAAATCGCGGTTCGGCGCATGTCGGCTCGCATTAGCCGCGCGTTTGCAAGCTTTTCGTGGTTTCCAACGTTCAAACATGTGATTTGATGTTGCTCCCATGCATTAGGGTGGGTGTCAAGGTCACCTGAAGGTCAAGTCAGGTCATTGACCTTTGGTGACCTCGGGTGACCTCGGTTCACTTTTTCGAGTTTTACATGTTTCTAGGCTAGTTTTTGGAGCTGAATTCGAATTTAGCAACCATTTGAACATTTACGAAGTAGTTTTGGTGCCTTCGTAACATGTTACGAAGCTGGCCGAGGCGGTTGACACGTATTACGAATACCCGTCACAACCCCTACCGGTTGACCTGACCTGACCTGACCCGACCTGGTCTAAATGCTTAAAGACATCATCTCTGATCAAAACTAACACGATATTCGTGATCAGCACCCCGGAAAACCACATAGCAGCCACACTTTACGACTTTCTAACAGGTCCCGATTTTCCCGGTTTTCGGGTCATTGACCTGACCTGGAAGGTCACCCGATGACCTAGGACCTTAAAATTGGGTATCATCGGCTTCGTCTCGTGACGGGCAACACGCTCGTTTTTTTCCGCGAAGCTCTAGCTCGATCAGGGGCCAAACGCGAGGGGGGGTCGTACCACCCCCCCCCCCTTGTGCCGTCGAAGGACTCAAAATGGCCTGTGCCGGCGAGGGTTAAAATGCCTGTTAACGGTAAAAATTCGACATTTGACCTGACCTGTGACGTCATCGGTTTGACCTAGGTCAATGAATTAGAGCCACAACGTAGTTCCCTGTTGGGTCTATCCAACACCGTTTGCCGCTTGTCGCTATGTTGCGTGGTTCTCGAGATCTTAGGGGGAAAATTGCCCCCCCCCCCCAACAGGGCGCGTTGTTCGGCAGACCCCAACGGGGCGCAGGTTAAAAGGTCGTTTTGAGAGTTTGACCTAAGGTCCAGGTCATGACCTGACTGAAAAAAGGTCGTGTTGCATATCAGTCGATCCGTATCGTCGACATGAACACAGTTAAGGGATTTTCTTTGCTCTACATAGCATGCCACAATCAAAAGTTGTTGCAAAAGAAAAAAACTTCTCGGGACCCTCCATGACCTGAGATGACCGCTAACACCGGCCCGTCAGTGTCAGCAGTTGCAGCTATCCATGCTACCTGACACGGCCGCAGCAACTTACCATCACAATACCTTCGTCACACGCACTAGCCTCCATCGACCACGCGGCGATTCCATCACTCCGGTGTCAACGGGGCCATTAGCCTGGGACGGCCACGGTCCGACCGCCACAGGTATACATAGTGCGCCATCAACACCCTCGTGGGGCGCCGTGGGAGGGAGCGCAGGTGGGGAGGGGGGAAGGGGTCGTAATACTCTGGAAACATCGCTGTTGTGTGCCTATACCCTGCCTTCCTGGACGCATCGGTGCTGCGTGGCCTCCCTGCCTACCTACCGAGCAGTAATGGTGCCTGAGATTCACTCTAGGGTATGTAATTGGGAGTTCTACTGTTCAGTCGACCGATGATATAAGATGCGTTCCGTTATTCTCCGCGGGCCAGTACACTGCTCACATTTCAGTCTCTGCTACAATGCTACATATACATAGCACAATACTATGTATTGTATTAACTTCTGTAAGAACTTCTGTAAGAAGTTAATACATAGAGAAGTTATTACTTAGGGGAAGTTGGGGGGAACGCCGAATACTTTTTTGTGACGCCCGTAGCACGCAAGGTAGACAACATAAGCTATTCTTGTTGGCGTCATTCGAGAGGCCAGTCTTTTGCCTTTCAAACATGCCAGGCGCATTTGATGAATTCGCATACCGTTAAGCGCACAAACTAAAAATATCAAAGAAGTGACTTTTTCGGCGTTGCCCCGGACTGCGGGGAAAGCCGAAAATGGGAGAAATGATCTACGGGGAATGCCGACATTGATGTTTTGCCACTTTATCTCAAACTTTATCTAGGATTTATCAAAGCTGACACGCGTTTTAAGAGCTTGAGGACGCTTGGTGCACACTGGAAGTTATAATTGTGTGATATAATAAGAAAATGCCAGGTAAATAATTCCTTATAGGTAACAGGCCGTTGTGTTGGTTGAAAGTGTAGGGGAGAGTGGGGCACATTCGTGCAAAAAATGGATAAACCCATATATCTGTTCTTTAGTTAGTGCAATGGCAAAATTGTTGATTGTAGTGTGGAAAGGAACTATTGCAGATAGTTTTCCTCTTTAAAAGT